CATCATAAGCACTGTCCAACATGACGCTGCATATGTTGTGTAGCCTAAGTGCCCTCGCGTCTACAAGCCAATGAAGTTGAACTGTGAGAGGCCCGCGCAGATGTCCAGGTCACAGAGGACTGCACAATAAGTGTTGAGGGTGCGCTTAGGCTGGATGAAGAGGAACCGTGGGTTTGGGCAAGGATCCGCGCGGTTGTAGTAGTCGACGTCCCATTGCGGTCAGTGTGCCCAGCAGAACTGTCGCCATCCCAAAGAGCAGCAGATATTTGCCCAATGGCATCTGGAGCGCACAAACTGGGTCCATCGGTCCAACTCATAAGGCGATTGGCGACGTCAGAAACATAGCAGTGAGTGGCACCGCCCTGGCCCAGGTTGCCGCTAGAAGCCACCGCGCCGGAGTTGTAAGCACGCGCAGCCTTGTAATATGAAGTCACATCTGCTGTGCCGCCCTCTTGAGCTATCAGTGCCTTGAGGCCAGGCCCGGCTGGGGTGCCTTCAACGCCATCCTGGATCATTTGGATTATCTCGCTCCTAAGGCAAGGGTTCTGAATTACTCCATCTTTGTTGCAGGACCCCGGTCCATCGTGGCTTTGCATAAGTCCAGGATTAGCGACCCCATTCTTGGTGGTCTGAACGCGAACGCATCCTTTGCTCTCCTGCATGACGATTGCAAAGATAAAGCGCGCGTCGACGCCGCTCGATTTCTCTACTTGGTAGATGGCATCCTTGATGAACTGTGTTTCATCTTCCGAGCTATTGGGGAGGCCCCATTCGGCGCAGCTGACAGAAATGATCCCTTTATTGCTCTGGAACATGGTTTCAAGAGAGTCAACCCATTGGTCGATACGTGGCCAGCCGTCAGCGAGCTGGCCGTTACCACTTATTACTGCCGCATAAGCAATGTCGCGCTCATGGAGGGGGTCGTGGGGCTTCTTTGCGTGATGCTTCTCATGGTGAGAGGAATTAGCTGCTTCGGTAAGTATGCTGTGGACTGCTAAAAAGAGCAGCCAATAGATCATCTTTGGCCAAAATCGATGTTCAACACGAGAGGACTATGCGAGGCATAGAGGGGCTTATATGAGATCTGGTTGTAGGACTGAAGATGTTGAAAGGCCATTTAGTATGTATAAGTTTCATTGGTTATAAACAAATCTGAGTGAGGATCACTCGTTCAGAAGCAAGAAGCAAGTGAACTTAACGGACATGTTCATAAGGCTCTTTCCTCATCTATTGAAACTTTGCCTCAGTCGCTGCATGGAATTACTGCCGCAGCACTAGGAGATAATTCTTGAGGTGTGATGGATATGTGATGGTTACTAGATGTTTCACTAAACAAAGCTGCTCTCAAGCCGTCTTGCGCCTCAGGAATGGGTTCCAAGTGAATGGGGTGCAAGAGTTGAGATCATCGACTTCTGGCATGGATGTTCGGCAAAGAAACAATATCGCAGAGAATAAAGGTCGTGAAGAGGGATCAGCCGCCGAAACAACCGTGCCATTGCGGTTTCTGAGTCACTCATATGCCCGAACTGCGCACTTCCATCAGGCAATTTAAGCAAGCCTGTCTCAGGAATATGATGACCTGCACTTGTAAAACTGATCAGTTCGACTTCAGCGCCCCATGAAATTCCGACTCAACCATACAAAAATGAGTGTTCAATGACAGTGCCCGCAGTTCGGAATTCGCATCCATGATCAAGTATGACAAACGCAGTGATACTGGCAAAGCAAAAATGCATATATAGTCCCTTCAGAGGACTCAGCGCATCCATCCAGAGACGTTTCCTCATCGTCGTGCCATCATGTCATCTAAAGGCATTTCCAAAAATGCCGACCCAAAGCAAAAAGTTCCTTCTTCCAATATTGGCAAGGTAGAGAAGATGGCGATGGAAGGGACTCTCCCACGAAACAAATTACAGAGTGGTCTGGAGCAAGCCTCGGTATCTCCAGCAAACTCGAATGAGAACCAACCATCCTATCGCGATGAGGATGGTCTGGGCCAGATGCAGCAAGATGGTCCTGTAGATGAGAACTCCCCGCATCAGCCTGATAAGGCTATCAGATCGATCGAGTCAAGTGATATCGAAATGAGAGATCTCGGTCCAAGCCATGCAGAGAACAATTCACCCGACGTACAAAGTGATCATCCCCCTCCAGAAGTGTCATCGCCCCAGAGCCAAGACACCGCTGGCCTTGTTGAAGGCTTTAAATGTCTGGCTATCATCGATACACGTGGGAAAAAGAAGGCAAACCGCCCCACGGAAAGCGAGCCTCTTGATCCCAATGCCACTGTCGATGGATGGGGCACGATGAGAGGATCCACCTTCGTGATCGTGCAAGAAGGTCCACCTCACGCGGCCAGATTCACATTCAGATACGAACCCAACTACACCAACGATCGCTTCGCCAGTACGACCGACGAAGACTTCCGAATCTCGGCGATTCGAGACCGCACTGCTAGTGGGAAGAAAGTATACCGGTATACGACTGCCAATGTCGCCGGCATTTATGGAGCCCTCTTTGAAAACACAGGCTCCAGAACCTCCACACGTAGTCCATGCTCGTGGGTGAAAATTTTGTGGAAGGACTTGAGAGATGATGACAAGAAAAGGTGCAAAGTTGCACTGGGATTTTCGTGGATTCCCAAGTGCGAGTTCGTTCGGTTTTGTCCTGGGCGCGAGGCAGCTGAGGAAACAATCAAACAAGTTTGGGACAATCAAGAGAATCAGTATGCAGCCTGGGCTGAGAATCAGCCCGGGTCCGGAAGACGCAGTCGTGGTACTACGCCATGTCCATTGAACGCCTCCTTGGACCGCCTTCGGCAACGGAGAGCCACTTCGCGCTTACGGACCCCAGGTGTTAGGGGTGCCTCTCTGACTTCCGATACCAACAGTACATCTCCACCTTCGCCACGGAACAACTGGGCAGGCACCAGATTCAACCCCGTCAGCCTTGACGAGGAACCGGACGATGTCGTTTCTCCTACTAGCTCAGAACCAAGACCTACGAATACTGCGTCGAGTGAATCTGACAACCGCAATATAGCGGAAACTCGAGGTCAGGCTCCCACTGTCAAGTTTAGTCAGGCGGATTTCATGCGGAAACAAGGAATCAAAGAAGGCTGGGGGAACTTGAGTCCTTCAGACAAAGAGGCTCGAGAAGTTGTTGCCGAGGCTCTATACGAAATCTACAAAGCGACCATGCTACAGAACAACGGAGAAGAGGTCCAAGGACTGATTGCATCTGAGGGTGTGGAGGAGATTTGATTGCTGATTGATAAAGCAAGTCGTTTCTAGCATCGAGTCAATTGTCACTGGTATCAATTTTTGAGACATATGGAAAAGGAAAAAAAGAGAAAAGAACACCAGCAGAAAAGCTACAAAAAAGGTCTAGCTAGTCCGGTTAAGGATTAAGTATGTAGGAACGTAATGTCGGAAAGGAGAGGTCTTTTTTCTCTATAATATGATCTTCAATTTGTGCATTTTGCTTTACAGACCAGAATTGATTGTGTTTGTCTTCTTATATGGATTATTCAATATTTAATATTCGTTTGGATACTCGTTCAAAAGCATTTGTCGGTGAGTCTTCGACCAAATTTTCCTCGCAATTCCTCGCAATCCCGCCAAACAAGTTTTAAGTTCTGCACGGCCTTGAATGACGGATTCATCTCTCACGGTTAAATCCAGTCATTCGGCTTACACACTTTGATTGATTTCAAGTCCCTCTTTGACGATTTCCATCTCTCTTTTAAGGTCTTGAATATCACTGTTGAAATCTTCAATGCCCTTGGCAGTACATTTTCTGTCACTGCTATTCCTTTCTTGGTCGTCCCATTTGGCGTCTCTCCTGAGTAACCTGCATTTTAGAGATACAAATCAGTTCTCGGTCTTAGACATAAATACGAGGGGGCTCCGGGTTTCAAGTACAGACCTTCTGCGTCTGCCCAGTCTGCGTTGTAGACTAGCATGGCTGGGCTGTAAAGTCAGGGAGGATGAGGGCACGTATCGACTGGTACTAGATTTTGACTGTGCAGATCTGTTGGAATGTGCAACGCTTCTAGACTTGTCTTCCGAAACCAGGTCAAATCGCACTCGCTTTTGTATTCTGTCACTAAATTCTCTTCGGTTCGAGTATTTGTGACTGGACTTGTTTGAGTCGCCTGTCTTTTGCGAGGATGCTGTCGGTACTGGTGAGGCAAATCTGTTGCCCAAAGCTTCAATTGTTCTCTCAAAATTCGCAATTCCCGTGTGAGCACGGTCGGCAGACGACGGATCCAACTGTGCCATTATGAGGTGGGAATTGTTGGCTTCAAGAGATGGGTACATGTGAATTCTGTAAAGGTATTTTATAGAAGGAATCATGAAGGAGCAACTTGGATCTACGAGAATTCTTGGAGAGGACGTATACCTGGGGCGGCCCGTGGGACAATGGCGAGTGGACGCGCGAAGTGGGTCGAGGGCAGATCAGCCATTGTGAACCCAAATACTGCCTGCCGTTCACCGCTTCACCGCATGTTTGTAGCCCGACGAGTCAACGTCAGCACGTACCCGTCAACATTCACCCATCAAAGATCACTCCCATCAAGAATCGCATCAGCTCAAAGTCGCTCTCAGCACCATTTTCCACTTTTCAAGGCCGGACGATCTTTGACGGGTCAGGTCACCTTATTGGTCGCCGTCATGGAGTCCTGGCATTGGGTTCGCGAATGAGGGATCATTCAGACAAACTGCCTACTTTTAATATGTCTCGTGCAGTTCGAGATGGCCGCTTTGAATTGGCTCATCAGTGGGCATGTCGAGGTACCTATTGCGTAAAGCGGTTTTACTAAATACGACTCTAGGTATGGCCTACGAGAGAGCTTTGAATCGACTGAACTGATAATGTGATGATTGCATTTCCCAGTGGGCTGCCATGGCTCATGATTTAGTCTATCTACTGTGCAAGTCTTGGCTTCTTCAGTCCCCATGGGAGTTGCAGTCCCCAGGTGAGATGAATACTGGTCCCTAGCACCACGCAGAGGTGCTTGCACATTGCCAGGGGGCCTTGATTTCGCAGATGTCCCTGCGGAGTCGCTTGATTTCGCAGCTGTCTCCTGCGGAGTCGCTTGGTTTCGCAGCTGTCTCCTGCGGAGGCGCTTGATTTCGCAGCTGTCTCCTGCGGAGTCGCTTGGTTTCGCAGCTGTCTCCTGCGGAGGCGCTTGATTTCGCAGCTGTCTCCTGCGGAGTCGCTTGATTTCGCAGCTGTCTCCTGCGGAGTCGCTTGGTTTCGCAGCTGTCTCCTGCGGAGTCGCTTGATTTCGCAGCTGTCTCCTGCGGATCCTCTTGGTAACGCATTTTTCCTTGCGGAGAACTTATTTGACGCAGCGGTCTCCTGCGGAGAACTTGGTAATGCAGCGGTCTCCTGCAGAGAACTTGTTGACGCAGCGGTCTCCTGCGGGTCTCAATTGTCATCACAGCGTCCCCCTGCGGAGTTCACTTGGTAACGCAGCGCCCCCCTGCGAAGCACTATTCTTATGTCACTGGGCTTGGATCAGCAACAGCCGTCGTCACGGAAGCCTCAGGCCCGAAGGTCAGAGGCGACACACCGCGGCCGCGATGTGTGAAGAAAGACAAATGGATCGGGGGAGGAGCCTGCTTTTATGGACTTCAGCTACGCTTTCTCGCAAATACCAGCAGTGCAGGTTTCTCACCGAGGACGGTTCTGGCGGTCGATGCAATGTCTTCACCGGTCTTGATCCATGAGCTGGACGATGCTGGCGTATGGATCGCCAATCATGTCGCGGCAGACAGCACCACGACCGTTCATTCCATCTGGGTGTGTAGTATTCCTGACTCACAGAAAGTGCTGGTCGAATCACAAAATTGGCGCAGTTGCAATCGGAGGGCAAAGAGCTGGCTCGCCCATGGTTCACAGTCGTGGTACGGTGACCTCAGAGACGTGAGTCAGAATGAAGATCCTCAGCATTATACTGCGCGTGCGAAAGTGCCATGGTGGAGGATGGTATATTTTGAAAAGGCCCGTCGAATTGCGTGCGGCTTCAATGTCACCTCTGCTTGACTATGCTCAAGTTCTGGCGGCTTATTGTGAGGTACTGAGGTACACGGCTTGACAGGCTTTGTCTTTGCCGTACATTGAGAGAAGGCATGCCTACATGATTGCTATGCAAGGGTATTTCTCCATACATCCATGACTGGACTTGTGCAGAGTCCCACGTGTCCACATATTCTACTAAGGGCTGATATTTTGTGACCAAGATTGGCAGCGGACAGGCTGCAGAGAGCTCTGGGCTCTTGGTGATTGTCAATATACTCTGCAAATGGCATTACTATCAAAAATTCCATGGCATATCAATTTAGTGAATAACTGGCCCCAATTCTCAACTTTTGGCGGGACGCACTTTTGTGTCTTTCGTAGAGTAGTGTATGCCCAGCACCCGCTACTTGAGGAGCGGTGCTTTTTGCTGGGACGGCCGAAATGTAATGGAAAGCGATTCCAAGGACGATATGGAGAGTTTTCGGGGTCGCACAAAACTGAGCAATCTCTCATTCACCATCATTCTCTGAGGGCTTCTGGCTTTCCTCGCCGATCATTCACTGTCGTTTACTCAACGTTGAGGCACCAGAGTGGATATGGCTCCACCTCGACCCACGGGCCGCACCGGTGTGGATCCAAGCTACCCAGTGTTGGCTCAACTTGAACGACTATGCATTGTTATGGTCTTGCCAATTTGGGCTGCCCACGATTCGCATGCTGCTTGAGGGGGCGCAGTAACTTTTACGTTCCCTCCAGGGCGTGTATTATGGGGTGTGTTCACACCTCGTCCGTCCATACGAAGGTGGTAGAAGCGGAGCGAGCAAATTCATTTTGTTGTTTGCAGGTATTTATTTTTTCCGCTAGTTAATGGGTGAGAGAAAAACCAGGAAAGTAGTCAAGTGTAATTAAAATGAGGACTTGCTAGTGCTCGCCTCAACTGTCAATTTTCAACAGCTTATCTGTTCTTCCATATATTGTTGGTCAAGCTCCTGTTTGCTCATCCCGTTGAGTCAACTAATTCGCCAGCGAATAAGGTTTACGACCTCATTCGGCCATCCCTAATTCGAGTGACTGGGACTCGACCTCTACTTCAACGGTTCCCCATAATAACTATTTGTCATTGCGCATATCCTTGGGACGCCTCATGTTTGCTCATAGCTGTTGATTCAACTGAATCCGCGGGTGAATAAACTCCGGTTTCTCAGTTAGCCGTAATTTTACTCTGCTGGACGCCTCCTCTAGCCTCGTAGTCTAGCTGAACCTTGACTCTTTGCCAACTATTTGTCATTCTACCTATTATTGCTACTCCTGTCAGCTCATCGCTGGTGAGTAAACATGTTTTTTTAGCGCAGAAAACTGCTCGCTGGTATGCCAGTTTTCCTCTTGCCCAGAAAGAATCAGAAAGTCTCACAATCTGCCACTTTTTATTCAAGTGGAAGACGAAGAACTCCGCCCTGAAGGGTATAAATATGCCCCCATCCGTCTTATTTCACTTTCCTCCTACATCTCCCCTCGCATATCATTTGCGAAGGTTGACTTTGATCATTTCTTTCCTCAACTACTTGTAAGTGTACCCAGCCACCAGCTCAAGAGTACCTAATCTCTCACTGATAAGACTCTTTCTTCAGGCTTAATCTACGGCGGCGTCAATATGTGAGTACCATCCTCCCTTGGTTAAAGCCTATGCTAACGCCATTTATTACTCTGGTTCCGCGAGGCTTCCAATACATCCACTGTAGCACGCAAAATCTCTACCAAGGTGAGGTGTCGAATCGGTTTGACCTATGAAAGCTGCACTATGTCCTATCTAACGATCTCACAATAGAGCTTTTCAAACGGTCTGTGTACAGTCAGATCTGAACACATTCGATGACAACCATGACAGGCTCTCTACCCCTGATATATTACGGTAGAGCCTTTTTATACGGTAGGCCCAATAGCAACTCCATGAGGTCAGTCGCTGACCAAACGAACTTCTATCACAGAAACCTCCTACAGAAAGGTGAATGGATTGATACATCACGAATACCGGCGAGCGCTGAGTGTGATCCGTATCCCCTGATCTTTGATTGAGTCTATGTACATAGAGCTGACTTATCTTCTGTGGCAGACATCTTCACGGCCCCCTGACATGTCCCGGGGTGGGCTATCCCGAATGCTGGATGGCTCATGGAGCTTTCTACCCTCTCGACCTTGCTCTCGATAGCAAGGGACCAGTTGTCGGACAGACCACCCATCATGCAACGAAGACCAAGGCCGATTTCACCTCGAGCACAAAAGACGCACTCTACATTGAGACGTCTCTAGCCTTGCGACTTCGTTTGCAAGACCAAAAGACGCTATAAAGAACAAACAGCTCGTCAACCACATCAGCGATGAGGATGTGATGCCATCAGGTACGTATCTCATATCGGCGGATGTCGGTCTTTTCCAACCCGCTCTTTGCGCTGGTTTCTCTATATTAATCCACGCTTAGGTAGCTCAGACCTGCAAGGTATAGAACGTGGGTGAGTGATGGGACTTCGCAAAAAATTCGAATGTCGGCTCATTGACCCCTCATAGAGCCTTTCGATACACCGGCAGTAAGCCAGAGTGTACGCATTACATCGCGCGTGACGCTGAAACCAAACGAAAGCCCAGATCCACTGAAAGGCTATATGGATGGTTTTTCAACATCGTCCGCCCACACTCCATCTGATCCAGCTTTCCCAGGACGAATGATCATTCATCTTTCTGCAATCAGCCCTTGCTGATCTAATCGTGCTCCATGTTATTGAATGATGGAACTAGCCCCTCGTCAACCTTATTGGCTTCAGCACGAAATGGGTTGGCTAGTTTCGCCAAGCAACTTCAGTGTGAGCTCTAACCCATAATTTTTAATGTATATTGGTAAAGCTTTCAGCTGACACAATTGAGCTCCGTACACTCAATGGGCATATACCCCGCAGTCACGAGTACCATATCCCAAGCTACGGATTATCGGTCATTTCAGAGCTCCGAGGACTGCGTCTAGTTATGCCGCCATGCTGAACGACTTCTTGGCTGTCAAGGGTTGCACTGTCGCCTGTTTTCATATGTATCAGCTACTTTCGGCATTGACAAGAGTATCCCCACTCATGCTGACCTATCCTTATTCCTCCTCTCTGGGTGCTAATATTGCCTATAGAGCGACTGGTTACCGACACGCTTCCCAAACACCCACTCCATGCGTGTATCAGCTTAACATACCCTTCGATGCCTGCTCTGGATACCTAGTCCCAATCGCACTACGAATCTACTACAAGAAGCGCATTACCCACATTATCCAACGTGGCTTTGTATAGCGTCCTCCCCCTCCCTGAATTTACATTCGTATAGCTGACTATCGTTCTAGTAGACCTCTCACGTCGATCGAAAGATTTTTTACCTGGTCCCTGCTCATTCCATTGGCAATGCCGTCGTCTCTTGTCAAGAGCTTGGTTTTAAGCGGCATTAGACGCGAGGCCTGCTGCAGTCAGGCTCTGGAGGTTAACAGTGGACGGCTAGCGTGGCTCCCTGTCTCACCTCACCCAAGTCAACACCTACAGGAAATGAACAGTTTATGAAAAGACCTGCTGTTTGATCCGCATTATGCATTCCGATGGCTGATCTCCATTGTCATTAGTCAAGGCCACTTTGCATCAGCGTCTTCCGCCTCGGTCATCTGTGATGGTGCTGAAGAGACATGTTCTCAGCACGCTGTGAGCTAAGCCTGTTCAATGTGGGCTCACATTTATCTAGCGGCAGAGCTAGTCAAGAGTACTACTTTTAGGCCTGTGGTGGCCATCTCGCTGTCGCCATGACCACTTATGATGCGTCTGCGGTATAATTGGTCGTCGGTTTGAAGGGGTGATACCCGATAACACATACTGCGAGAGGATAAGCTGGTTGAAACTCGACTCTCAATATGGAGATCTGAGGAGCCAATTCCAATGATGCAGCTCCGTTCCAGCACCAGCATCAAATCACCATATCGTGTCCATGTGGCTGCGTGGGCTTTCTAATGGGCCGAATTATGAAGCAACTTCGAACATAAAGACAGTTCCAACCTTTCCAGTGCCTTATGAATGTTCAAGACGGCATACGTCGACTGAATCAGACTTGGGTCGCTGTTCTTGAATGGTCCGACGCGCCGCTGACTACTTGTCACAGCTAACTTCGCGTGACGTCATTTCCCAAACGCGTCTCCTTGGGATGAGTTCATCTCACAAGTGAGCATCGATGCACGAGCGTTGAATTTCCACGACGATTGACTCATTCTCATCTGCACTTTTCCAACGGCTGATTTTTCCTTACATTCTCTTCTCGCTGGGGCTACACCAGCTCACGCTTTTGACATCCCAACCGTTTGTGAGCAGGAAACCGTATCAGACAAATAGAAAAGAGGCCAGCGGGAGCTCCAATGGTCCGAGCAGTGCTCTAGGGAGGGCAACTTGGGTCTTTACCCAGTTCAAGCTAATTATGCAATCAGACTTGCAACCAGTCTTGTGAGCGCTGCGTTGACATGGATGCGACGTTCAACAGTGGGATCAGCAGCAAGGTCAATCGAAAACGTGACTTCATGAGAGGTCTTCCATACATGACGGGGGCACATTGTCGCAGCATAGCAAATTTTGGGCTTTCACCGCGTTCTTGAAGCTAAAGGTCAACTAGTCCGACTTCAATTGGGGTAGCTCCCAAGCGCAGCTCGCCCTGATGGGGCTTTAACGGTGTGGTATTCGAACTTACCTACTCGCTTAGCCTTTTCGTCTAGAACGAAAAGGTCGGGCTCTACCAGTTATCAATACACTACCGCACAATGGAATTGTTGGCACGAGCGCTGCCGGGTGGGCTCTCGTGGGATACCCTGAGGTTCCACCAATGAATGGCATTGAACGCGACCACAAAGCTCGAAGTCACAGATTTGACATTAGAGACTTCTCTAGCGGATGTTGTTCTACCATGCTGGCTACCTGCATTATTACTTGTCTACTATGGTCCAAATGGGCTCGGTGGTGGTTTCACTGCAGCGAATCACGGTCGGAGTAGAGGCACGCAAGCGCTTTCTACTCATGGCGGGTGATTCTACTATATATGATGCACGATTTTTTCTAGGCGGGTCTACGGATGGTCCCATTGCCTGACATTCAGTCCCACTCTGGCGTGCTTGCGAGATGTCCTTATGCGGCCAGGCGGTTTTCAGTGCATGCTATGTCACAACAAGTGATTATTGAAGAAATCAACCGCCCTTTTCTGAGCTTAAAACATCTAGGACGAAAGCAGATATGCGAGACTGACCGAAGGGCCACAAAAGATCGACACCCTTGACACTGATGAAACAGATTTGGTCTTGTGCCCTCCGCTTCAACTCGAAGCCCCTGGTCGATTTCCGGTCCCCTTCTTTTTTCCAACATCAATTCTCCCTCTCAAACCCACCCGTTTGATTCCTTCGAAATCTCGGTGATTGACGGAGTAGTGGGCGTGCGTCCCTCTTCGATCAGTCTAGTCGATCTGCGGGGCAATATCTGAGGTCTCTCTTGTTGCACTGCACCCGCTTGCAAAATTGCACTGGGGTGGATCTGTATACAGAGGGGGAGGAATCCGCTGACGGAGTATCGTATGGGGTAACTGCAGTGACACTCCAGCTTCTGGCTGCATCAGTGCTCATTCGAATCTGCGATGGCCACCCGCGTAACAGGGCGTCTTGAGGCTCTTCACTTCGGCTGCGTCTCTTTAGTAACCAGTTTTTCAAGAGACGCGTTCATTGCACTTACCAGGCGCAGCATGACTCGTGCATCTCAGGTCTGCATTGCTTCAACCACTCCTCCATGCAACTCAAATGTGACAATGCTTGGCAGCGTCGACACTGCAGAATTACATTCTCGTCGGTAGGATTCCCATTCTCGGCGAGACAAAATATGCAGTATATGTCATCGACGTCTGTGCCGATTTCCAGACGGCGGACCACAACGCCCTGCCTCCCCGGCTGTGTGTGGGAGGGCAAGGTCGAGGCGGGGCTCACAAGAGGATCAGTGACGTGATTAAACTCGTGATGAGCCAACGAATCTGCAGAAACTCTCCCGCTTCGATTTTCGTACGACACCTGGTTGGTCATGTCTTCGCCATTGAGCTCTTGCATAGAGGTGGTGCTTGCGTGGGCGAGCTGTGATTCTGCCTGCGCTCGGCTGTTGGTAAATACCTCGCCAGGCCGCTCATCAAGATTTCTTCTGCGACCCCAAACACGAAGAAAGGCAACAAAAATCCCGCGCAGCATCGAATGTTTTGGAAGAGGATCGTCAGGCCGGAGTAACCGGTATAGTGCGAGGAGGCGTTCTGGTCTCCCAATGGCTTATCGCTACCGGGTCGTAGGCAAAAGACTGGCTACATTCACAAATGCTACTAGTGAACCCACCTGCATTCCTCACTCATCAACATTTTATGACTCTGCCTTCAGATGACGACGGTAGATGATCTACTTGGCCGTTGGGGCACACATCTTGATTACTACTTAGGGAGTCTGCTTTGATGGGGGGTGTCTAAGTGTGGAAGATCGCCGTCAACTTGGATCTGCTTTAACTAATGAAGCCTTGACTCCCTGGAAAAATGATCCAACGGGTAAATTTGGGTCATAATTTAGCGTTGCCGATCCTGGGATCTTTAAACCGGATTTTGGGAACTCTGGGGCTCCTGGGAAGCAAGTGAACGTTCCCAGAATTGCTTCGATGTTTAGAATTACGCTACTTTGTGGCATAGATGAGTGACGCGGCACGTCACTACTGGGGCGTCCTAGTGAGCTCTGATCGAGGCTATGCTCGTGAACATTCGCACGTCCGTTCATCAACATTTAAAGTGGCGGTTCTTCCCTTAGGGCTAGCAGTGACAATCTTGAACGTCAAAGTGTTTCCACAGTCATTTCATCAGTACTACTTTATATGTATACTAACTTTCCAGCGAAGTTGCGTCCGCAAAGATGCTCGCCATCCTCGAGCGGTCCCACATCAACTCGAGCCTGCGAGTCGTGTCGAGCGGCAAAGATTCGATGCAGTCGTCAGCTTCCTTCGTGCCAAGCCTGTATCAGGCGTGGTAAAGATGACCTCTGTTCCTATCTAGCTAATGTGGACCGGAGCCCATCTTGCGAGCCGTGCTGTATTGCCAAACAACGATGCAGTATTGAATCACGCACGTGCGAAGGCTTTCTTGGAGGAATGTCCCAAGAGACTCGCATTCGTAAAACAAGCCGCCGAAGCTTACAAGCGCCATCGATTGGGCTGGCATCGTCAGATCAAAACAAACAGGTCAGTAGCTCGAAGCATATGGCAACTTGAACTTGGCTGATGCTCATGGTCCTTGAAAGACGGTTCCCCTTACGGAATTGAATGAAAACCAAGCCTTTGATGTTGATTCTCGCTCTCCTGAAACTTCGCCTGCTGCAAGTCCTCCCGCTACCATGGCATATTCCAGGATGAAGCTCTCGGTGAGTAGACCCCATGCACATTTGTAGTGCCAATCAGATGTTTCTAATGTATGCAAACAGGCATTTCTGCCACCTCCGTTGAAAAGTCCACTTGCTGGTCCCATTTTCGCACGAGAAGAATCACCTCCGACTTTCCATCAGCTCCTTTTGGTATTGAATTATATCTTCATCTCTGCAATGCTCCCTGATGATGAGGCGGCCATGTGGCGAATCATCTATCGTCATTCAGCTGACTGGGAAAGAGAGTTTGTCTTGCAGTACGATGGACTCTTATCGTGGTTGATCAGTACGCAGGATGCTTTGACCGATTCCCGTTGCTTGCAGACGGTGTCTCTAGATGACCTAGAGTTGCAGACTCGGTGGATACTTTTCATGCTTGGGACAAAAGCGCTGCCTGGCTCGAGCTTTCTACAAGAATGCTTTCAAACCAAAAGGTATCCGTATCGGCCATTTGGCGCGAGAGCAAGCATCGCATTAGTCTGTCTTGCCTTTACGGGATTGCAACCGAGAGACCTCAAAGACTATGAGTCCAAAGACATCTGGCCGAATGGTGAGCCTTTCTACACGCTGATGGCTTCCAGACTGAGCCAATCGCCGTTATTCAAAGGCAGCATTTGCGTTGATCAAATGAAGACCATGGTGCTCAGACTTCACCAGGTCTTTCAGTTGGAGGAAGAACGTGTGGCCTTGACGATGCCCCTGGAAGTCTATTACGATAATGATGCCAGCACATACGAGTATTTCCAGCGGGCCTTTCTCGCGTTGGACCCAAGGTTGCTGCCAAAAATTTGTCAACTACTGCAGCCGTCGGGACTGACTGTAGAGGACAGTGCATACAATTTGGCTAGCATATGTGCCACGACCTTTCAGAGAGCCCCGTCAGTGGACGCCCTCGAGGCCACATTTGCAAATATACCAGAGATCCTGCAATCACAAGCAGATAGAGCTGTGGTCATTGAAATGTTCCACGTGAGGCTATTCCAGCAACTGAAGCAACCAGTCTACGGTCAGTAGCTATGTCACGAGAGTCTATATCAAAGCTGATGCTCATCTCTACACAGGCTCTTCGTCGCGGCTCTTGGTATTCCATGTTTCTCCCCAATGGGGAGCTGACAGTTGTGCGCTGCCAATAGATACCTAATACAGTTGAAATAGAGATTTCTTTTGTACCGCATTCCGCCATTCGTGTGGCTTTGTCTAACAGTGATATCATTACTAGCCAAGCGAGAGCATGGAATGGGGGGAATCAAACCACCAAGATAAATTCTAAGCTCACGACAAGATAGATCCTCTGGTAAATAAGTTTTGCACTCGCCAATCGTACTAATCTGCGTAAATCGCGTTTGATACGCAGGTGAAAAGCCATTACGACGTCACTATCAAGAAGCATTTACCAATAGGCTTACATCTTATAGCACCAAATATCATTTATCACACAGTATGTACTACAAGAAGACTTCTTCCATGCTGTTTGATCCGTGAGCGGAAGACGCATGGCAGTCTACCTTGCTTCAATGAGCTGGGCTGACAAGGTCCAGGTAAGGATCAGTATCATTTGGATCTGAAATAGTCAGCCACCGTATTCTTTCTGTGCAAGACAGAACCCACCTCTAGCGCAATGTCCCAAGTCTTCCATAGAGTGCCTAGCACTGCAACTGCCAGTAGGATCGCAAACAAGGCTGACACGCAGAAAGAAATGATTCGAAGGCGAGTTCGGGCTTGAGTTGCCTGACCAAGAAGCCACAGGTACCATGTCGTCACCATCAAGTAGTCAACGGCGATAACGAACAGACACACCGGGTGAGCTGCGGTCGGGCGAAAGGCTCCAACGACGGAGCTTGCTATCTTTGCCAGGCTGGAGATCACGGCGTATAATTCATATGTTCTAAGCAAGACAGCCGGAATAAACGGGTTCTCGCATTGTTGGAAATGGACCCGGAGAAACTGAAGAGTCAGCTCATTGCGCCAGAATGGTAACTTCTAGACGTACCACTTGTCCGGTGAGAAAAGCCGATGTCATCCACAACAGTGTGTGACACCAGACTGCATAGATTTCGCCCCAGCGAAGACCGGAAAGTACAACGAAGGAAATACTAGACGCAGCCGATAAAGCAAGGTCGAGGTGGTAGAAATGCCAGGGCCGTTGGAAACGAACTATCAGGGTCAGCCTCGTGATACTGGCCAGAGAGAGAGCGGATATCAGGATCGACTGGCCTTGGTCTTCCGAGATCATTTTCAATGCATGGCGAACGAATACGTAGGCGAGGCGAGGCAGTCTGTGTTACTTATGTACATTGCGTATAGCACACATGATCCTCCCTGGGTAGTATTTATATCTACGGCCTCCGCATTAAAGAGGAAACTATTTTGTGGCGACGTATCTTTGCACCTGAATTTCGGTAACTCAGAGCCGGGATCGTCTTCACGGTTCCTGGAGAGGCCATGGCCGTTCCCAGGATCAGTATCAGTGTCTCCAGGAATGGCACACGGGTTCCCAGAGACAAAAGGGCTCCCAGGATTAGCATCAACCTTTCCCAGTCTGGCAAAGACTATTCTGCCATACGAGAAGCCCTGGGCTCGGTCACAGTATGTTCAAGTCGGGGTACCTAAGCGCTATAGCGTGTTATAAAGCTTTGCCACCCCTCCTGTCAACCTACATCAGCTCTAATACTACATATGAAAGATGCTTAGCGACCTCCCAAATGAACTCTTGCTCTGGATCTTCAAGAGCCTTGACAAAAATGACATCGTTAATTTGATCGCTTGCTGCCAGAAAACTGCGACCATTGGCGCGACGGCTCTCTTTAATTGCCTCCAGCGCGATGAGATGCCACCCCTTCATCGAGCCATACTCAACAGACGACTAGACATTGCACGACAGTTGTTGGATCTTTATCAGGCAAATCCCAACTCCGAGTACCGTGGGATGAGCACGCTTCTGCTCGCCATTGAGATGAGCTACCCACAAGCAGTTAATCTCATGTTGGAACATCACCCACGGCTGTCCTATATTTGCGACTTTCAAGGTCGAGGGCCGTTGTCAATCGCTGTCGCAAAGGGCACTTTTGCCATCGTTGAAACCCTGTTGCAGTACCCAGCGCTGGACGTCAATGACCGATGCACCGATGGCATGTCCGCTTTGATGTACGCAGTGGAATACTCGGAGCACGCCATTCTAAGCCATCTTCTGACCGATCCCCGCGTGAATGTCAGCATCGAAGATCGCCTTGGGCAGAATGCGCTACACCTCGCAGTCCGAAAGGAAGACCATATCTCAGTGCAGATCCTAGCCCGAGACCCTCGCTTGGATGTCAATTGGTGCGGCACCCACCGAAATACGGCACTACTTCTCGCGGTTAAGACCCTCAAAGGGAGGTCGCCCCGACGGGTAGTGGAAGCCCTACTGCTCAACCCAAAGCTTGACATCAATCACCAGGATTCTAGAGGGCGCACGGCGCTGTGGCACGAGGTGGACCTGCAGAATGAGGAGCTAGTGCAACTGCTCTTGGACCAGAATGACCTTCATTTGAATGACGCGGATGATGGAGGTCTTACCCCTCTTGCGCGAGCAGCGGAGCATCAAAGCCCTCGCTTGCTACAGATGCTTATGAGGCAGCCGAAAATATGTATCAATGCCACGTCGAGCTTGGTTTCCCCGCTGTGGGCCGCGTGTCGGGCGGGTTCGCTCGAGGCAGTCCAGAACTTGTTGACTCAGAGGTCCATTCAGATCAACGTAAAAGCCCCCTCTGGAACTTCGCCCCTTCACGTGGCTGTCATCAACCAACACTTAGATATTGTGTCTCTTCTTCTCTCGCAAGGTGAAATCGCATTGAATGAGGTTGGGCCCTCGGGCTTCACGGCCCTCATGTTTGCTGCTGCAAGCGGGTATACTGCATGTGTTGAACGGCTGTTGCGCCACCCACAGATTGATCTCCAAGTTCAAGATCCTTATGGATACTGCGCTTTCAGCTTGGCGATACTCAATAGACATGCTCGGGCAATGGATCTTTTAAGCAGTGCATTTGTGCGGCAGAGAGCACAAAAGTTAGGCTGGCCATCGGGCTAGCTTTGCCAAGACTGAGTGGGGGAGAAATAGAAAATTTGAGTAAAGTTACTTTGCCAGACTGCTATACCCCCCATCCTAGAGTCAGATGACTCGGAAATTGCTATGTAGCACAGCTCAGCGAGCATGGACGTTAGCCCAAGCCCACTGGAAAATGCGGCCCGCTCAATCACCGACTTCCCCGCCCTAGGAATTAATACTAGAGTATATCACCCACAGGACTGCCTGTCATAAGACCCCATTGTTCTCTACCGTTTGCGCGTGATATAAGCGTGATCAGCCGCGGCTACAAGACACCAAGCGCCGCATAGAAGCCTCTGTTCTAGCTTCACTGATGGCCCGCCCTCCGTCTAATGCATCGAGTATATACAGTCGCTCGCCAGATACACCAAGACCACACTCCTCGGCGGCTTTGCCTGCCGCCCGGGATGATCTTCCCGGGATTACACCACTGGACCATCGGATCTTTGTGGCGGGGAGAACGACCATGGCATTAGAGACCACAAAGACACACCTCAGTACAGCAAAGAGCGTGGCACAATCCCCACTAGACCCAATCACTGAGAAGCGGAGCCAGCGTGATCAGCAAGCTCACGAAAATGAGTTCTTCCGCACCTGTTGCGCGAATTTCTGCCACCTAGCAACAGCCGTGGTTGACATCACACAGAAGCTTGTATTGGAAGAACACTTCCATTCCGACCAATTTATCCCAGTCAATGCACGCTTGTGCCGGGCTACATTGGCTCTCTGAGCAGCTTTGGATGCATCAAGGGTGGAGGAGGATAGAGCGGAACTCATTTGGATGCAGGAATTGGATATGCCGACAGCTTCGGAGCCATCCTCCGAGTGGATCTAGGGGAATTCTGCGATTGAAGGTCGAGCTGGTCGAGTCTTGGGTATTGGGGTCCTGAGATTTTTCTGTGGGTTGTGAAAGGCGAGGCAACAGCCCTGGATGAGCGTTCCGAATGCGTACATTCGTTTCAGGTGAATATGTTAGGGCCAGTTGGACAGTCAGCTACCCTGGTCTGACGACCAGCCCTGACGGTGGCAGTTGGCGGGCCAGGCTTTGTTGACGTGGTTCAAGAAGGCGGTGGCAATCACTTCCGCATGGCAAACTGACCAATCATGGTGGCTTTGGGGGTTCAACTCGGCAACTTCAGTTGAACCCCCTGTCGGGTTTTCCAAATCCTGGACCTGGAAATATATTATTCTAATTCTTGTATGTAGTCTGTTTACATCGAAATTCTGATTAGAAAGTACGAATATTCATCCTCGTCCAACTCATTTGCCTAATAAACACAGTTCTGCCCTGTTTATTGGGTTGTAAAATTCCTCAACATCAAGCCATACGAAATATATATTTCGGACTTCAGGCAATCATTGAGATATAATGCATCAAGATTTCTAACAAATGAGAAAACCTCGATCTCCGAGTTTGATCGCGACTGCAGATCTTGCAGATTTTCCAGAGCCTCTGAGGCAATTAAGTATAGATATCCCGCTGTCACGCAGTCTGGTAATCCTAAGGTTGGTCAGGTTGGTGAAAGGCGGGCCACGTGGAGACTCCGTCACTCTGCGGTCGGCCCACGCCCGGCATCTTCCCAATAGCCTCAAACAGCCGAGGGAATTGGCCTTTCAATATAGCACCATGGCCTTCTAGTCTAGTCATATTTCAACTACTTCCGGCTCTGTGGGTACTCGTGGCACGGTCGCTTCATGCCGTCCCTCTGCAGCCCGGCTTTCGTGTTCTGACCTAAGGGAAAAGACCCAAGGCTTCCAGGGCCTTCAATCAAGACAGCTTCGCGCCAATCGCTGGATCAGCCTTCGGTTCGACGTGAACACTGCATGCTGCAGGATGGAGCGGTCTTTGGCGTCGTGCTGGCTCACCATCGATTGTGGATGAGAAACCAACAGCCCAAGGATCGCGTCGCGTCTGGGCTCGAAGCCACCGTGTGTCTTGGCAGCGAGAAGTAGTGCGCCGTTCCCTGCAAAGCTGGACCGATCGACATCTCGAGATCTGCTTTGCAAGAGGATCTGAACTGCAAGATGATCGTCGTATATCACCTCTAGATGGAGCGCAGTGTGACCTTGGCCCCCACTTTTACCGAGAAGTTACCCGAAAGTAATGACCGTAATTCTGCCACTTTAGTCCGACAACTCCCAACCACCTCTTTTCACCGATCACTTGCCGGCCCCAAATTGGATCCCCCTTTCTGCTGATGTATAATTATCACCCTGCCCGATATCACTCATCATGGCGGCCAGGATTGCCATGAAGTCGCCCCTTCATGAGACGGAACACATCGTCAGTCGCATCACACGCGAAGGAAAACAACTCATATATAAATTAAGCGTGATGCAACAACCAGACCGTGCCAGAGCTTGCGGCGCGAGTGTGAAGTGTAGGTAGTCCCCGACATGACACTCCGTCTTCCACTCAACTAAATACGTCGCATGATAGGAGCATATTGCTGATCCAGTTCGACAAGATAGCATACGCCGACCGTCGCCCTGTGGACCCACCACCAGTCGTTGAATTGCGAATCTTCGAATCTGATCCTAACAACGGTGCTCATAAGAACGACATTACCTTTGCAAATAATTCCAATCTCTTCCTTTACGCAACTCTGGAGTACGCACGTCCTATCGCCCACGGTCAAGTGGCTGGTCCGCCGTCGTGCCCTGTATTAACTGGTGTGCCCATTGCTGGTGTTGCTTACCTCGATCGCCCCTCACAGGCTGCTTACTTCATCTTTCCGGATCTTTCTGTTCGTCATGAGGGTCGGTATAGACTGGTCTTTCACCTATACGAAGAAATCAAGGATGCAAAAGACGCCGATCAAGACTCGAACTTTCCTCTGCCAAAATGTGTCGGCAAAACCAACGGTGCTCCTCAAGCCTTCCTGAATTTTCGCCTGGACGTCAAGTCAGTACCTTTTACTGTTTACAGTGCGAAGAAGTTCCCAGGTCTGGCTACCAGCACCTCCCTGAGTCGTATTAATGCCGAGCAAGGATGCCGTGTTCGTATTCGTCGTGATGCTCGTATGAGACGTAGAAGAGTTAAACGCGGGGGAGAGTACGACTTCCATGAAGAGAGGGCTGCCGCAGCGGTTTATGCAGGATCATTCGTGCGACACTCGGCTCCGGATCGCTACGTCGCAAACTTGGTGGAGCGTTCCCGATCAAATGGCAATGGGAGCGCAATGGCTTTCCCATACGGATTTGGAGACACTCAACGGCGGCCGCCAGGACCCGAATATGGATTCCCAGGCCTTCAGCCGATCTTCCAGCAGCCGATGCCACCGGCGTCAATGTCACATGACGAAATACCCAGCTATCAATCATATCTGTCATTCGGTTCGACACCAACACGATATCCTGCTCCTTGCATGCCTCCTAATCCGCCCCCAGTCGCTGCTTCGGGAATGTATTCGCCCCATACTACATACGCCAATATCCGTAACCCTTCGATGACGTCTTATTATGAATTAACTCCCGCCGGATACCCCATGGCACAGCCCATGATGGAACCCAGTGGAGGCTTTTCGAAGGACCATCTGACATCGTATCGCATGGAAATGTCAAAAGCACTGCCCTACATAGACATGAATATAGCAGATCCGATGAACCCATATTCAATCCCGGCCAACTTGTTACCGAGTGTCGAAACGCCCACTTTTGGCTCTTTGCCACCTGCCATTCTGAATTTGAAAGCCCCTCATACCGATTTCGCGACTTTACAAAATCTCGCCGGTATCCAACCGAGTATTGAACCATGCACGCCAAGTCCTGGTTACGACCCAGTCTTGGGCAAACGGATCCTCTACAACGAGCACGCTTCTAAGGAACTTACTCATGAGGACTCTTTCGGCTTGGATGAACATTCTATGCAAAATGGAATGTGGCCTGATAAGGGTTCGTACAGCGTCAATGGACCCGCGACTAACTGCTGAGAGTCGCGCGGCTTTGATGGCTGGGTATGGAGTTGACATGGCACACAGACCGGATCAGAAAGTTCAGGCGATATGATCGCTCGCCGCTGTACCAAGTAGTGATGCGCTTAAGCACGTTGACCTGGAGACACTGGGAACAATCAACCCGTTCACGTTGGCCTCATTGGATGAGCGCTTGCAGATCAATATTGATGGACAAGATGAGCCTCAAATTGAAGCGGGCGGACTGATACAGATCGCGGTCAGCAGCTCGGCGCGGAACGACCTGGTGGGATTTGGAGTCGTAATCGAGAAACAGCCTCCTCGGAATCGGAAATTAAAGTTCAAACCCTTTTCCATCACATTGGGTGCGAGAGCAGAGCAAAACTCGTTCTCTGCAGAGCTGGCAGCCATGGCACATGTGTTGAAAATGGTAGTGGGAATCAAAGACTACAAGATTACATTGCTCACACGCAACAAAGCGGCGGGGCTCACGCTAAAGAACCCTCGACGACAGTCTGGCCAGGGGTTTGTTTGTCAGATGTACAAGTTGATGAGAAGGCTGCAGAGGAATGTAAACCGGATCAAATTCCACTGGATTCCGACTAGCGAAAACAATAAGCTGTTAGGTCTGGCTAAAGAACATGCCAGAGCCGCAACACGAGAAGATGCCCTCCCACAAGAACGCGTCCCGAGGATGAAGTCGACCACATTGAATATTGCGCGATCCCAAGCAGTCCCCACCAATGAACTACCACAGAACGTAGAAAGACACGCAAACCGAGTAGATGCCGCACTGCCAGGCAAACACACCCGGCAGTTGTATGATCGCCTCACGTGGAAAGAAGCGACCGTACTGGCCCAGCTCCGAACCGGCATGGCTAGCCTCAATGGATATCTCCATCGAATTAATGTAGCAGAGACGGATCAATGCGATTGCGGACAAGCAAGAGAGACCGTGGAGTACTTCCTCTTCTGATGTCGGAAGTGGACGGCGCACCGGACGGAAATGCTGCAATGCACGCAGACTAACCGAGGAAACATACCCTTCGCCCTTGGGGGGAAACAGTCTTCTGATGATCAGAAGTGGACACCAAATCTTGAGGCAGTACGGGCCTCCATACGTTTCGCCATCGCGATCGGCCGACTCGAGGCTACTTGAACATATCGGCCAACCTAACCACCCACCCTCTTCCTACCCACCACCTCGTGCCATAGATGGTAGACGCGCTTCAACTGCCGAAGATAGGATGTTGAAAACTTAGAGAAGCGCCTTCAAGCCAGCCTACTAACCCACTTACTAACCCACGAGAAGCTCGATGCGACACTGCTTTTTGGAATTGTCATATGTTATAAGGCATTAGGGCTTTCAGGAGACACGGCATACACACATGAGCGTGTACAGTGGACCAATGATAGTTGCCCTTTCGGCTCAGCCGCCGGGCGTTAATGAATTGTTTGTTTGTTTGTACTCTAGAGGCCACGCAGAATTGGGTTTGATAAACCGGTAGATATCAACGCCGGCGAAACACCAAGCTCGTCACTTCAGAATTCTCTAGCCCCTGAAAAATCATCCTAAAATAGTATTGACCCAGTAGAGCAGGGGCTAAACCCCCTTTACAGTGGATGCGACCGAATAGAAGGGGCAACTTATCAGCCAATCGTTTACCGGCAAGCCATTTAATCTCCAAGTTCTTGCGTTTTTAGCCATTTCGCGGCTCGTGCCATTTGCATCGCGGCGGCTTCCTCGGACCACTTCAGAATAATTTCGAGGGTATAATTAATATACGGCCATGTGCACAAAGCCCCATGCCCTTCCTCGGAGCTTTCCAGGATACGGTGGGATACTCGGCGTGGCTCTGCAAATTGTTGGTTTCATTTGCCGAGGCCAGACAAAACCAGGTCGCTCTTTAAGCGGCACGTGTTCCAAGAAGCGATTTTTATGTTGCAAACTCTTCTAAGAAGTATATTCACAAACGTTGATCCCTAAGGGCGGCACTCGTATTAGAAGACCGTAGGTACAGATGTTGGGCATATGTTGATGTCATTGACTGCCTACAATCCGGAACATATCAAACATCCTTCGGCACTACCGAAGACGACTAGCAATGAAACGTTCCAATTTCGCCAAACAACCTTGTCCTTTCATTGTATGAGAACAAAAACCGGCGTCTTCTGCGTGTTGGTAAAGCGCCGAAAGCTTGGGAAAATCCTTGGTACAACTCGGACACACGTAAGTCCATCCTCCACCTTCAATATCGTCATCAATATACTTCCGGCTTTGGAAGCAGTCTTGAGCAATATCGTCAATTTCATCCTCGGTCACCTCCGACTCGCAGTTCCCGGATTCCAGGTGTATCACCATCCCAGAGAATGTTTTGAATGTCTGGTAGCAGCCGTAGCATTCCATGTTTCGAGGGTAGTGCTTTTGCTGGTGCTGTTGGCTGGTCAGGTATCCGCTGCAAATGTCATTCATTTTTCCATTGGTATCACTGTTACTGTACCATTTGTAAATCGTTCTTATTTCGGAAAAAATCACTGCACTTCGGGCACAGGCAATGCTTCTCAACATCATGCTCTTCAAGTTGCTTTTTTGAATCACAGTAGATGTCACAATTCGGACAGTAATGATGACACTCGACTAGGTGGTCTTCAAGATCATTGTCAGTCTCAAAGTCCAGTAAATGAGGACAGCTCGAACAGATATTATGGGCATTGGATTCTCGAAGATGTGCATCCTTTGCAGAACTCGAAAGAAGCACTCGGGAGCATCGTTCACACCACGCATGGCGACTCGTTTGTCTGCAATGATCGTAAAGAGCAGCTTCATTGCCAAATTTCTTTTCACAAAGAGTGCATCCGTACTGCCCATGACTGTAATCGAGATACGCGCCAAGTTTCATGGTGTTTTTATTGAACAAGAACGGAGAACTTAGGTTGCGAGCGGGGTAGAGGTGTTTAATCGTATACTCAGACCCTTAGACCGCTTCAGGTGACAGGCTTCCCCGCTCGCCAGACAATTCCGCTCGCACCATACATGGGATAAAATGCCCTCACCACGATGCCTGAATAGGAGCAGCCAATCGTGGCCGTTTTCTACGCGCCGTCGTAGGGTCATCGTTAGTAAGCTCGGGCCGAGTCAGCCGTCGTCCACTTTAACTGATGGAGTCCTACAATAGCTTTTTCACTTGACTTAACACTACTGGTGAGTGATCGTCCTTCGTTCTTTTACGGTAAAGTTCCGCTATTGTTGAGCAACCGCAAGGCAAGTAGGCCGTAGCTAGACCGTCCCATAAATCGAGACGCAAAAGGTGGAAGTAAGGATGGTGAATAACACCGTTGATCATCAATCAACGATAGTATTCCTCCCTTTTTTTGACTTTTGTTTTAATTTATCAAACAAAGAATCCTCGTGAATTATTTGTTGAACGCGATAAGACGGCAGCGGATATTGATGCCACAAGAAAAATTACATCGAGTAATCATCCCCAGCATTGTTGAACGTTCATTAACAGCACTCCTGGAGATGTTGGCACCAGCCGTCTAAAAAACATCAATGAATGTGGCCTCCAGATCACGTGCATTTGCTATTAGTTTGTGATCCCCCGGATCGACAATAGAAATCCTTTTTGATTTTCATCCTTCATGCCCGATTTGTTAGGCTTTCAAATAGCCCCCGTCAACTAATTATGAGTCACTATGGATACAAGCGGGAAAGATCACTGCCGATCGAGCGCCACTGCGGGATCCGCTCACTCAGCACCGCTTAAGCCAATGAAATTGAAGAGCCCATCCACAATCTCTGTAAGATCTGGTCCAGACCTAGACGGAGCACTGAGGGCGAGTTCATATGACGTTCCGGCTCTTCAGCAAGCTGTGACTAATTTCCCTTCGAGAGGATCTCAAGAGCCATACTGGCTTGAAAGGAGGGTCATGTCCCGGAGCTTCCAAGCCATGTCTTTTAGGATGATCTACCGAAGAACAAGCTTCCATTAACTCCTTCTCACGATTTAAATCATGGAGGCCTTGAATCTGTCAACTGGCGGCCAGTATGGCTGAGTAACCATAGAGGCCGCAGGTCTGCTGACTTAATGTGAGATATAGCCTTTTCCGTCATCGCATAATACTCCGTATTCTCGGGTGACGGCGAATTACTTAATGCAGTTTAGCGTGCCAATCTAGGCTTAGCGCGTCTGGGCGTCATTGCGTCGCCGTGCGTGCTTGTATAAAGTCGTCCTCATCGCCGCGACAGTTTTTCGCCCTCGTTTCGCCCATCACTCCTTTTTCTTACCATCTGGTTCCCGTACGCACCCTGTCAGTGAGGCATTTTTGCCATTGATCCGGATCACCGAGCTCCGCCGCCCCCTTGGTCGCCCGCACGAACCGACCAGTCCTGTGTGGTTTTTCGAGCCCCCGACCGCAATCTGCGCTGCTTTCCCTCGCCCTGCCCCGTTTGCGCTCAGCTCTGGCCATTACGCTCGAGATGAGGCATTTTTGCCCTTGGTCCGCCACGCCGAACTACATGTCCTCTCCTTTCCACGTCAGTCGGTCGATCGATCGCCGAACCTCCGCGCCTCCAGGTCCATCCACCCTACGTCTCTTCTGGGCCATGGCCGCTACGCCGAGGGTCTTCAAATCTGCCTTGGGGATGCAAATACCTGGCGAGGGCATTGACAGCCTTGGCTGATGATGTTCGCTACATTTCGGAACTGAAGACGACCGAGGGTTGAACCGGGCAACTTATCTGACTGGACTGTCTCGGCCAGGATTCGGGCCAGCCAGTGGTTTACTAAGTTCGCGAGATTTTACGTGACGGACATGACAACACTATCCTTTTGTGACTATCGCACGGTTTCACGATGGCCGTGTCGAGACTCTGGAACGATCTCTGAACCTCTGAAAAGCCACCAGGAGACCTTGTTAACCAGTGTGCAAGCAAGCAAGCATCCATTCATATCGATATGTACCTTGTTTCGTGCAGCCTTTCGCATTCCGAACCGTCGCATCACCTCCTATACCGAGTGCGCCTTGTCCCCGATGACTTGACGATCGATTGGCGTAGAGGATAAGTTGGATTGATGAGAAACCATGTTTTACTCCTGCAGCAACGGCGTCATGCGGACCGGAAATGAGTAGGGAGCGTTCCATTTGCTCTCTTTGGTGATGGAATGACTGGCAGGCAGAGCTCAATCGACTCACTGGGCGCAGATGTGCAGTCCTCCAGGAATAGCAACATCGTTTTGTGGGATAGTCATTGGATGGGCAGGCTATTCATTCGTACATTAGTCCCCTGCTCTATGCGTCGGACATGGAGACTATTGGCAGGCAGGCCTAGTGTGAATGTGATCCTGCCGGAGCTTTGCCGTCTGAGGTTGAGACTTTGGCTGAGCGAGTCCGCCTCAGCTTGCAGACTGAACAAGGCATAATCAGTCAGACGAGAGATATCAATCTATATATCTCGCGCGCTGTCTTCTTGAAAAATAGCAGCCAAGAATCCAAATCCTTTTATTTCAAATCCAGTACTCAATTTTACCTACATCATCCAATACGTATTTGTTTCGATCTCTTCTACTTGTTCCTGTCAATATGACCTCTTATACAGATAACGAACGCGAAGCCTTTGGTAAGAGGGTCTCTGTACGCATTATTGATTTCTCTAACTAATATTGCGAAGCTGTATCCACTGGACCTTTTGAATACCCCGAAGTGGGTGTACGCGACTCCGTTGTTTCCTCCGAGTTGGGCACGGAGGCCAACCCCATAGTGATCGGAGATGACCCTGCTCCACTGGGCTCAGCCTCTACCGAAGGGAACATGCGCGGCTCTCCAAAGCCCGAGGGCACGCAGTCGAATGCAATTTATCCTAAAAATTGTTCTTCTCCACTTGACTCGGCTCCTAAAGTAATCTACGAGGATTGCTACGATGACACAGATCAGCTTAGTTCTGATGCCGATACAGAGGTCATGACTTCACCACAATTCAGGGCTGCTTTAGTTGATGAGAGTCTCCCTGACCCAGCAGATGAGTGTGAAGCTGTTGCTACAGCTTCGATCTGCGACTCAACTAGTCATGATCCCGAAGACCTTCGCATTGAGGAACTGCCCACGGATCATCCTCAGTCCGATGAGAAGGCACCGCAAACGATTGACGATTCTTCCCTTGATTTGCAGGGCTGCGACACTCTTCAGACGGGAAGGCGCGAGAACGGTGCCTACGCTTCTACGGGTAAGTTGGATTAATGTCCTTAGGAAATAGGAGACCGATATCATTCCCCCGTTGGTCAGCTTCGGTTGTGTCGCTCCGACGATATAGGGTCAAGGAAACGTAAATTTTCAAGTGAAAATGTCTCAAATTTGAGACGATCAAAGCGACTAAGGGAACAAAACGTTTGATGGACTTCGCTGTTGCCATGTATCCATTACCCACGAGACTTTCATTCTATAGCCATGTTTCACACTATCATTGTTTGACGTCCATTCGTTCCAACGAGGCCTGAAAAGGGCCCTCTCCTCCCGCCTGGTTTCATGCTCTGGTATTATCTTTTGCTCTTACTGATATCTTGAGTCGAAGAGATGTCCTCTTCGTGAGTCATCTACTGAAATATGTCTGGTGCTTTCCATTTGCAGAATAAAGCATATGATTTGTTTTGGCTTTGGATATCAAGAACTTTCAATTTAATCGCTATCCACTATAATACTATCCGATTGCCCCGATACCACAAACCAGCTCCTTTTCAAAACATACAAAGTTGCGATGACTCAATAACTCACGATGAATGGAATTTCCTCGTAAATGATATCGTCTAGATTTTCATATTACTATAGAAGTACCGTTGGTCTCTCCCGATTCACAAGCCCCATAATGGAATTGTAGGGTTCGGGCGCTTCTAAGCTGCTCTTATCATCACCATCCCCAGTGCAAGACGCCCAATTGACAGGTGATGGAGGACGTTGTGGGTATTTCACATCTCTGAATCTGCTCATCAAATGACGCACACTCCCTGTATTCACCTTGCGTTCCTGAGAATGCAATCGATCAGGAAATTCAACGTCTTCCAAGTCGACAACTACTATTTGTCCATTGTTGCAGAACAGAAAGTTACCCAAGTTTAGATCACAATACTCAGCTCCGTAGTTGTTCAGCTTCTCAAAGGCTTCCTCAAGACAAATTTCAAGTATTTTCTCCGAAATTCTTGATTGAAATTTAGCAAGATCGCGTAGAGTAATGCCTTCAATCTCTGAAAGTATTAAGGCCGGGCGCCCATTGAAATATCCTTGACCGAATAGAGTTGGAATTAGAGTCCCCTGAAGGTCTTGTAGTTTCTCATAGGCATTTTTCTCTTGCTCAAACTCATATTCCTGCTCAGGCTTTTCTTGCTTGACGATAACCATCCTTGGAAGTCCATGACGAGGCTCCTCGAGTTCTAAGCGGTATACTGTCGGTCGAATGCTGTTCAGCAGCTCATCCTTCTTCACGGTGATAGATTTGTCGCCAAAACAGAGGGTCTTCGCAGTTTTAGCCTTGCTATACATCTGTGGATAGTGAATTTAACTAACCGAGGATTGCACTTTCAGAAGCTTGTAGTCCATGTTGTGTAGGGTAAAGGGGGCGATGTAGAATATGGAAGTTGGGGCAAGGGATAAGTTCACCTAACAATGTTAACTGCCTAGTTACAGGTGTTGATTACTAATACGAAGCACCGCAGGTTTAAAATGTTGAAAACTTGAAATGCACGTTTTACACTGTCAATTATACCATACTCGCCCAGAAAGTGGACCCATATCAATCGAGATTTCTGTTCTTAAAATTGCAACATATTTTTTTAAGATCTCTGGCGGGCTTATCGGTCTGCTGGGTCGGATTTTGAATTCTCTTATTGCATTCGGCACCTGGAAACTCGGTGAGGCGGTCTGGTAGGAGAGGCCGCCGTCCAAAACACCTGACCAGGGCGGTAAGTGGAAATACAGTGGCAAAACCAGAAGTGTGAAAAGTCTGGCAAATTGTCCAGGGTGTCTGACTGGCGCGGACGCGTATGAGCTAGTACGATTCGATCCAATCATAAGGGTTGTGAATTGATGTCTGGTTGAAGAACTATCTCTGCTTTTCAGGGGGAATACATGGAAAATGCGGGCGGGCGCTGTATACACTAGTCCTAGAGAGGAATAGTGGTAAACTACTCCTCTCCAACTTGACACACCCCCCAGCGTTCGCACGCTGCTCTCTTTATCTAGAAAACGATCATAGAGGTAAATGGCTCAGCCGCTACTATATGTGCTGAATCTCCCTTTTCCAAAAGTTCTTCAATCGCTTCTTGGTCCTTGGTGTTCATCTTCTTTGTAAATTCAGGGATTCGCCTTGCCACTCCTTCTCTAGGTATCCAACCTTCTGGTCTCAACTCTCTGTTGATATAGAAGCACTGGCGATAGTGGTGATTGCCACTCCCACATGGGCAGTGTGTACGACAGGCGTTTTCGTCTAATATCTCTTCTGGTAGATCTTTTATAGTAGTGTATGCTATATTCGACGCTGATCTTTGGGGTATCGTAGATAGATCCGTACGGCGGCGCCGATAGTCCGCCGTCACTTCATGGAACTTGAGATCGTCCGTACGCTTGCTTAACTCACGCTTCCAGCCTATACAGAAGGTGTCGTCGATATTCTGTATGGCATCAAGGAAGTCTCTGATAGCAAACGCATCCCCAAGCGAGCAATCGGGAATCTTCGCAACCTTTCCTTCTTCAAATAGGGAATCCCATTGGGTAATCCACTGATCGATATTAACTGATTGGTTAGGCGATCGAATCATTGCTCTCCACGCCCGTCGAAGCTCCTGTTGGCGGCTTTCCGGCTTTGGGCAGAAAATTTCAGCTAGTTTTAGAAGCTTCTCTCTTGGCGAGTCTTCGTCCACGATCAAATAGCGATGTTCGGTAGCTAACAATCGGGTAATAAGACTATTTAGGCGCGTCATTGTCTTCAAGAGCTTCGTACGCTTTGATTCAGATCTCTCATAGATCCTCACTTTCAGATCCCATAATCGGATTTCGTCTTCGGATAGGTCTTCGAGCTCTTTCGGTCGTCCACGGTTGTCTCTAGGGACTTCCGGCTCTGAACGGGCAGCAGGGATCTCCAAGATCTCATCATCTGGCTTTTCGGGATCGATATAGTCCCATACTCCTTCCGAATTTGCTGCTGATCGAATATGTCCTATCCAGACTCTCCACTGGGCTTCCGAACGTAGCTTCTGGTCAGAAGGAACCGAGACAAGACCCTCTCTTTCGAATTCGGACATCCTGAGTATATCCCTTTCTAGCGCAATAATCTCTCTGATTTATGCGTAACGCGTGATGTGTTGCAGTGAATCTCTCTGATTCAAAGATATCTGCAATCAATATAACGGGGCCTCGAATCTCTCTGATTCATTGACAAGCCAGCCGTTCAAACATGATCTGCGTTCTGGTATAATCTGACCACGGGCGGATAGACTCAGGGGCACTCAGGGGTTCGTTCGTACACTGCGAGATACAGAGCAATGCCGTTGATATATCTCTCTTATACAGTATGGCAGACCGGGCTCATAACTGTCTGACTGGCGCGGACGCGTATGAGCTAGTACGATTCGATCCAATCATAAGGGTTGTGAATTGATGTCTGGTTGAAGAACTATCTCTGCTTTTCAGGGGGAATACATGGAAAATGCGGGCGGGCGCTGTATACACTAGTCCTAGAGAGGAATAGTGGTAAACTACTCCTCTCCAACTTGACACAGGGCTCCAATACACATATCTCCTGGCCATTTAGTATTCGAATTTGGAACATTGATTGATAGGTAATGAGATTACTAACAAATACAAGTGCCGTACCAATCACATGGCCGTGACAGTCATGTGCGGTCTACGATTCCGACATTGGTTCTTCCTACGGTAGTGGGGAACCAAGGCCCTACATTAATTACGCCGGAGGGCGTTGAACACCACCCAGATTGAGTGCCGTTTTTCTGTGAGAGCTTTTCAGCTAATTTAGTACAATATCATCCTCCCTACACCTCTCCGGCCGTGTCAATTAACTTCAGTTCCCATTACCGCCCATCCTTTACTCTATATGGTGTGTGATGGTTTGTTGCGTGTCCTTCATAAAGACCTGAACGGCTAGATCATTCTGCCTTCGAGGCGCTCCCCTTTTACTACATACGTACAACCCCAAGACCACGTGGTTTGCCAAATTCCCCAAGGTGACGCCCTTAGCGCTCATCAATTTGTATTGAAGGACTTCTATCCGTCCAATGTAAACTATTTCACGCTTCCGTATATATCACTACCCCTAGATGAAACAGTCCAAAGTATCATCCACCATATTGCGTCCATTCGTCCACACCCAGAAGCCTCCCGGCTTCTGACGGCCATTCCGCCCCTCGACAAGTCTGTGCAGAAATATTCGCTTGTATCCAACAGGGATAGAGCACTCACGATTGTATGAGTCAAAGAATGTTGGCTCCCCTGAGTACCATACGTAATCTCGTCTGTATTCACCTATACACAACGGCGTTTGTGCTCGTACTCGCTCCCCCGAGCCACGAAATCTGCTGTCTAGAGTTGTGGCTCCGCGTTTCCATCCCGCTGCCGTTAGTTTGTATAGTGCATACTGCATGGTACATTGGTTCTCTATGGCTCTGTCTAGTTCCCGTGGTATCACACAACAATCGATAATGCAGTCTTGGCTCTTGATATCCTTGCGGTCCTCAGCCCGGAATTGCACAATCACAAGACTACTCGAGTCAAATAGAAAGACATGGGGGCATTTATATTCGTAAGCGTAACTGCTCATGGTTAGTGATATCATGATATCGGATGAAAGGGAAACATAAGCATTAGTGTTTGTTCATACCCTCTGAGCTCTTGTTGGAGCCTCGAAGTTATTGTAGTAGCGTCCCTCTGGGATAGCCATTCCTCCCTACGGATAACACGCGGTCTTTTCATCTCCCCTATCATAATAGCTAGCTCAAGATTCCTCCCTGAAGAATGGCGTAACGTCATTTGATAATCGACCATCAACGAGGATGTTGATCCTGTTGGTGGGATCTGGGATTTTGGCCAGAGCATCGGCCCACCAGGCAGGACGGATGAGGCGTGCGCTTGACTAGTCAGAGCAGTGGGTCCAGAAAAAGCTGCGGCAAGGCATGGGACCATGGACTGGTTGAAGTCCCTCGTGACGTCAGCTTCACTTTCTACCTCATGGTTAAAAGCATTCAGCATGTAGGCAGGAGTTTGAAGGCCTATATATTCGGCAATTGAAGGTTCTTCGAGACGAGGCCCTAGGAACCTGTCAACGGCGTCGATGGTAGGTGGCCATATCTTCACATCCGAGTGTTTGAAGTCTTTGTATTCTCTCGTCCATGGCTTTCTGCTAACCGTGATTTCATTATCGACAAAGATGGGTGGACGGCTAGGATACCGCATGAGATCATATACAGTAACCGACATATTTCTTAAAGAAAGGGGAGGGAAAATCAAAAGAAAACCCGTCGTTGAGTTCTCCAGTAGCTGGACACAAGTCTCATTATATATATTCGAAAATCTAGGACAACAAATCATGAGCTGGTGTTTTCATACACATAAGTTAGCGCCCAGAAGCGCTAACTGAAACGTGCTAGGGGTCGCGAACGCATCGCCGAAGTGCCCAGAGGTGGACGATCCTGTCGCCCCATGTTTTTTAATCTTAGACCAAGGATCATTCAGCCCAACCAAAATAATTCCTCGACATAACGAAGAGGAATAGATCGGTATCCCAAAGCTACTGGGAGAATCGGGCAAATCAATTACTCTGATAGTTAGTTTGCCACAGTAGCGGCAGATGTTTGGTAAAGATGTTTTCAGATCGAAGACATTCTTTAGGGAAATAAGTTTTTGTGATTTCATTATTTGTATTTTGTGGAATGCGCAATACGACGCGTAAATCAAGCGACGAAAGACTTAGTTTTGAATCCGCGTGTTTCCACGATCTGTTACGAATTTCTAGGACCTATGGCTCCGAGAACACTAGTCATTCCAGTTTTACTCTCTAGATCACCTATTGCGCATCTCAATGTTCCTCATTACCAGACCAACCTGCTTGGCTTTAGCCTCATACATCTAGTTGTATCATCATTGGTACCAAATTGCGAACCTCGTCGGTTTAATATTTAAGCGACAAGCTCCACAGTTGCATTGGGTATAGAACATCTCACGGAGTACACGTGGACCCATGAAATCACGACGTTGGAAGCCTATTGTCCAATAGCGCTATACAGAGCGATGAAGGCGGGCCAGAGCGAACCTAATTTTGTTCATTTCAATTGCTGCGCCACTGCTGCCCAATGCTTATTGGTTAATGAGTTACTCTCAGACCTTTGTATGCAGACTCCACGCATGTGATTGTTTTAATACGTGGAGCTTTCGACGTTATTGGACAACATGTCCGGTGATGCCAGAGGCGAATGCATGATTTGACACCATTATTTCATGGTGTGTCCAAGACTTGGCACAAACCCGCCGGGTTTGTGCCAAGTCTTGGGCTTCAGCAACTTGAGGCTGTCTTTGAAAAGGCCGGAAAGCCCATGGACTTTCCTCAAAAGCATCGACATCATGTATACTATCGACGAAGTTGTACGCGCAGCTGAAATAATATCAGCCTCTTTTCCTACCTTAACTTCAGACCTGCTTTCCCACCATCGTCGAGAACTGCAGTTTGCATTTGACAGCTTGGGTGGCGCCCTCCGCTCGACGCCTACGATTGATAATTCACTATTACAGAGCAGCAGCCAGGAAGACACCTCGAACCTACCACGAAATAACATATCTCAGAATCACGATACACGAGATGGTCAAGGAGCCGCTGAGATCATTCAAAACGACCGTATTGAGACTGAGCGACCGCAGCAAGATCGTGGACAAGATGCAACACAAAATAGACCGATACCAAATAAGATCACTCGAAGGCCACGAAATACCCCATCGCAGGATACCTACCTGAGAACGATAATGAATATCATAGATCAATTCAGTGAAAAGATCCATTCCTTTGTCGATAAGCGTGCAGAAACGGCCGTTCTGTATCTCGATAATTGGACTGATATGGATCCATTTGAAGTTGACATTATTATGTCATTACGCGGTGCCTCTACAGCCCAAAGACTTCGCACATTTCTTGCCCGCTATATTTTTGCGGAAAAATATTTAGATTGGGCCGAGTCGGCGTACAAGAAACCTCGTGTTTCATTTTTACGCCTTGATGCGAAAGACGCTGCTTCAAAACAAATACCACACATTAGTGAATACCTGCAAGCTATCGACCGATCTGATAACAGAAATAAAAGATCAGTGGAACAAGGTTTGAAGTTCCACTCATTTGAGCATATATACAAACATTCTGGAGCCTTTGCGTTCCTTTTCTACGTGCACACGCAGTTTCGGGAGCTGAAATATGAATCTCTGGAATTGCTAGCACAGACAATCAATAAATCGCCGACCTGGTCTACTTTTGCAGTAGATAAAACGGGGTGGTTTTCTGAATGTGTAACTCTATACAAGAAGAGTTGTGGTATGTTCTTCAACCCAAATATCCAATCTAGCTGGTTTAAATCTAAGGTGCACAGCTGCATATCGCAAGCAACGGCGTCTGAAACGTCCTATCGACTCTGAAGGCCTTGAAGAAAGCCAGAACAAACGTAGACAAGAGGTATTCACATCTACAACTGAAATAGATGGCACAGGTATGGCACAGAGAGTTGGTCAAAATACAAGTACAAGCCAGTCAACGGTCGAATCGAACATACAGCCTATGAACGAATTGCCATCATTTCAAAATAGCGGAATCCCAGAATTCGCATTGGACGAAATTTTATTCAATCCTTACTTCGCAGATTTCGGCTTCCCAGAAGGTGAACGAGAGGATTCCTCAATTCCTCAGAATTTTTCCGTCCCGCAAATGGCTTGTTGAAAAAGGTTGTGTACAAGCTTGATTTGTCTCATTTTCTTTCTTTCTTTGCTTTTTCTTTTTCCTTGGTACCTCCAGCCACATACTTCATACAAAACACCAATTGCCAATTTACTCCGGGGAGGTGGTAGGTCAGTAGAGTGAAAGTGGAGCTATTTCGTTTCATCCCAATTTCAATTTTTTTTCAGCATTTCTCATATCCCTCATATCCCATAAAAATGAACAAAATGTTAAGATGTTAAGAACTATTCTGTGATATCTTGTACCCAATGAGTACCACATCAATATCTTCACCAGAAACTACAGCCGAGCTGTCTTCGATATAGCAATAGGTATCAATCGGGAGGAGATGGCCTGACAGTGTCGATGCGCCATTTATGGGAATAATTAACAAGCGCTTGGTTGGATAAAATGGGTTGACGATTTTCGCGCCTCTGAAGAAATGACGTACGGAACAGGCTTTGTCAAAAACCTTCAGATCAATTAGTTAATTTCCTATTAAAGATGGCGGTTGGAGCTCACATGTAAAGAGTGCTTTTTGAGATCTTTCTGTATCTCGTCACGCAACGAATCGACTAGCTTTGAAAATTCGTCCCCGCCATGCCTCCATCCGCTCGCATCTTCCCCCTCATGTGTCGTTTGTCCTTCGTCAATTTCATTCCTTATAGAATCAAGAATAGGCTTCAGCCGCGACGAAATTTCTTCTATCTCAGTCTCAGGAGGTTCCATGTTCCAAAGGCCTACTGCGACGTATGTATGTTCGTCAAAAGCAAGGATGGTCCCTTTTTCGCTGCCCGACTGTCCACCCTAACGAGAAAATAGAATTGGGACGACCACGTGATACCGAGTGCCAAGAGAACGCTGAGACTGATAATTGGTCCTAAGCGTATCCACTCCTTATGACGTGCCTTGGATGATCGATTCAAGGAAGATTACTAATATCCTTTTAAGAAATGCGATGAAAAGTTGCTTTCAAAGACTTTTTCATCCTTTCACCAGTAACCCCATTCGCGTCCGCTGACCATTGATTGTATCCATGACTTTGTTTTGGAATATATCACCCCAGCTTGGCGCATTTGCGTTGGACATTTTTCTCATACATAGCACGTTGTGACACGAACGAAGGAATTCACGATGATCCAAATTTCCCCGCCAAGTGGGGTTATGGAGTTTTCTACGAAGAGAACACAGCACTGCTGGCGACTCTTTCCAGGTATTTCACCACGTAGTGGATGGACTATTGGCGTACATCTGAGCTACAGCAATGTTATTAATGCTGCTGCTGCTGCTATATTTTATTATCGAATTCGGATGAATATAGCGAAGGAAAGAAACTGAACTTACTAAGATACTCATTTATTACCAGTATCATGCTTAGCATAAGAAGAAGACTTGGCACGAACCCGGCGGGTTCGTGCCAAGTTCAACTCGTTGGTCAAGCGGCCATCGACTTACTGTTCTTCCGATTTCTTTGTTCACAAAGAGGTCGGCTTAATTGGGAATAGGGTCTTTTGAGTCGTAAAGAGGATACTTCACACTTATTCACTCAACAAATGTATAGAGGCACATCATTTACCTGCCTAGTCTAGTCACTGTTTAACTCCAATTCTGGTGTTCAAGAATTACTCGAGCTGCAATTCTTTTGATCTAAGAAGGTGAAGCCATCATGACCTGACGTTCATATAATATTTCATCTCCCGCCATATTCATTCATACTTCTTTAGCGCTCAATTCTCCCCCAAACGTTGTATTTTCTTTAAAGCTCGTTCTATTAATGATGTCCTGCTTGAACCTAATCACAATACCGATCATAAGGCTTTGGTCGCGGTGAATATGAACTATCCAGATGTATTCATCACATAAACTAATATTATAACTCAAAAAGTGTCTTCAAATGCCCGAAGAAGTTCTCAAAACACTCAACCACCGAGATGGACGATTTAAGGCCAAAGTGGATTCAGATACTTGCAAAAGCCCGCATTTCGGAGCCCCTCGATGTAACACCGGTCCGGAAATATGAGTCTATTACGGAAATTTCTTTATCCTGTACCCTCGTATATGCTCGCTTCAAGGGCACTATTGAAGGGGGAACTGAGCTAGTTTGCATTCCACTCACAGAAGAATGGCCAGACGATACTCACAAAATAGCCTGCGTGAGGGATGCTCTTCGTATGGTTAGTCTGCAGCAATGGGATAATATTTTCCGAACATTCCCATCGATTCCGGCTGAAGTCAGAATGGAAGTAAACCTGTGCTTCAATGATAAGCAATGATCCGAAAAATCCTCACGGCACGCAGAAATATATTTAAATGCAGAGCGCTCCTTTCGAAATAGAATCTATGGTATATTCGTGACTTTTATATTGATGCAGTAAGTTCAATGCTCTAGGCACTGTAAGGATAAAACTCACAATTCAGATGGCAGAAACAATCCCCGTTAACATGAGGCAAAAGCCCGCTGCTTATTGCTTAATGAAGCTTCTTAGCTTGCAGCCCCAACGCAATGATCTTGCTTGTCTGCCTCCTCTATCTGCCGATTTGTGCCGTCTACGTCAGGACTGCAAAAAATTACACGAAGGCAAAGCTTCAGTGGAGGAGATTGTGGACTCAGCGTTGCAGTATCTTTCGCGAGCAACAATACTGAAACTAGCGCTGGTGTTCCGTACATTCAATCACTGGTCACTCGATATCTCGATGGAGCTGACTGAATTCCTCCAACAGCCAGATATAGAGACAGTTGAGCATCTGAAAACTCTTTTTCGAGCTCATTATGCTCAAGATAATGACGAATTCACTATATTTTTTGTATGGTGGGGAATCGAGGAGCGTTGAAAGTGTTGCTAAAACTGTATGCGAACACCCACCAATGCTATCATACTTTTGTTTTCTACTTCCCCCATCCGAGAATTGGCGAGCCAATTGTACAACAGATTCTATGTCATTAATTACACACCCCTCCAATATCACGTGGAATTTTACTTACCAATATTATTGTATTCGCTGGAAGCTTCGGTAATAAACCCCAGGTACGACAACCGGGCATTTTTCGATGAATGTATAGATATTGACTTACTTGTTATTAGGAAATATACCAAGATGAGATTTCTTTGCGATCTATACATCATGAAACACATATGAAGTGAGCCACAGTAAAATAATCGCCAGCAGCATGATAGATTGTAGATGTTGCTTAGATTAATGCATAGCCCATTACTAAGAAAGACAGAATGGTAGCCGCGCAGCAGATTTTTCGTATGGAAGTTGGCGTGGCCAAGCAGAATCTCCATTATTGCAGTAGACCCCTACTTCGTGTTTTGAATATTGGACTCATTGGTAGTTTGACATAGACAGTACAGTTGAAACGACGGTCTATCTTGTTATAAAGCAAGACTCTTCCGCAACCCTGAAACAGTATCATGTCAGACTCGTGGGAGTATTTGAGAAGCAAGGCAAGACCAGCTAAAATCAAGAAGAATAAAGATTACCTACAGCTTATTCAATATGATTACACAGTGGCTCATTGGTCCTTTCAGATCATGCTTCGGTTTCCCCCAAGATGAAGATTTTCCGTACGGAGAAGACATTACCCATCCTGAAAATGTAAGTTTTTCTAACTATGAAGCCGCTCTTCAACCCCCAGATAAATTCCCTAGAGGCTAATTTATTTGTACTCGAGCAGAAAGTGACACTGAGAATCATCACAGCACGAATGCCTCATGATATTGATCCCGATTATCATCAGCTCGTGTTCACTACGAAGCTGGGGAACAGTTTTCAAAAATACACCCTCAGCGATTTGATGAAAAAACCTGACGGCCTTGACGCTCTGGACAATTTTCCATGGTATCAGCTGCACAAACGGGAGATAGAGGACTTTTCAAAAAAAGAAACTGAGATAGACAATCATGTAAAGCCAGAGGGTTATGTAAAAGCTCCCAGCCTTACCTTTCCTCCGCTAGTAAGGGTGAGAGGGTGTCAATAATACCCCAGACAAGCCTCTTTGATTTTCAGTTTTAAACTTTATTTGGATTGGGCCCATGTAGTTAGAGATATCTTTTGTGTCAATTGTTTGAGAAGTATATGTATTTAATTCAATATTTACGTCCAGGTATTGCCTAGTGTTGTGCGTACATATATTAAAACAGCGGTGATATCGTATAACATAATCGATCCCGCATTCCCAGTCCTAACCCTAGATGGCGAACTAATCACCTCGCCGCGACTTTGACCAGCCCCGTCTTATTGGTGATATTTGAGTCTGACCAAATACCCATTCGATTTGCTCTCACCTATATGAACTACTCCTGATCAGAATAGCCAAATTTACGCTCCAACGTATCGTGGCACTTGTCGGTCAACCAGCGATCGAAGTTACAAAGACGGATGATCTCCTTACCGTCATTCCTCAGGCATTCTGGCCTGCTCCACACCCCTATCAAAGAATACAAGGACCAAAAAAGAGTGCACACTAAACAAACTATTCTGAATCTTATGCTAGCCACTGGCAAAGTGCTCTCAGAATAAAGTATAAGATGCTATGATTTCAGCAAACTTGTTTAGCATTCATCAGTTACTCTCACACTCTCTATTTGAGGCAATATGACTGAGCATTCCGATACTAGCTGGTGTACTACCATCCCCCCCCCCAATATATCCCCTATTGTCTGTTCTTGAAAACCTGACAGTTGCATCGATGAAATAGTAACTCCTCAGACGTCGGACTACTTAAGAGCAGTTGAAGTGGTGTCGGGCAAAGCCAAATACAAATCAGCCGAAGAGAAGAAGTTGTGGGAGGTCCTCCTCAATATTGCGCGTGATGAAGTCCAAGCCGAAGTCGAAAAACATAAATTCTCACCAAATGATCGTCAACTAAGAGTTTTTACTTCTATTTTCTGGTTTTTTCTTGGAGCCACAAATGGATGGAATTGGGAGTCGAAAGAAATACAGGAAGAATGGAAAAAACATCACAAGGAATGGGAGGATGGGCCTCATCGCAAGGACTATAAACACAGTACACCGAGTAAGCTCAGATCCACTTTAGCACAAAATATTAGGACTTCGCTGCTGCCAAATTTGTCAAAGAAATATATATATATCAAGGTTTTACTGACGGATATACTGCAGGTGATCAGCTCGCCCACTATTATCCATATTGGGAATACCTTATGAATGAATGTAAATTCAACGAGCCGCCCTTTCGGACATATGAAATTTGTCCGGATTTCGAAATCGAGTTACAAGTTTCTCCATCACCGCAGACAGAAAATCTTAGTTAATGTGCAAGGCTTTAGAAGAGATCTTTGAGGAAGCTGAAGTGCAAGGGTGGTACAGTCCATGGATACCTATGTTTCAAGGTTGTATTCTTTTGTCAACCGTGGATTAAAGGGACATCATTTATCTGCCTAGTCTAGTTGATGTTTAACACCATAATGTTATGCAATTCCCGATGCTTAGCTGATTATGTTGGCTCCAACTTTTAAAAATTTTCCCTTCATGTTATATACCTGTCTAGTCTAGTCTTTTTATGTATGATCTTGAAGTTATTGGGTGACTAGAATGTTCTACAGTGTAGCTCTATTTCGAGGAAGCAGGTCCGTGAACGGAAGTAAGCCTGTGCTTCAATGATAAGCAATGATTCCTCGGACTGAGACCTGGAAATCATGTTGAGTATTTTTGTGCCATGATATTCTCCATTCCCCTGTATGCCAATAAAACGCACGGTCATTGTGTGTTGAAGGGATCATGGAGGATTTTATTATCTGAGAGCCTGAACTGTTGAGCAGGACTAACTCAAAGCAAATACAAGCATCTGCTAGATCAAAACGCAAGATAAGGGATATATATATATAGAGCTGATTTCCGCTCTCTTTCTCCTATTTACCGCATCGTGGAGCCCTTTGATCTTCAACGCCTTATATCACCATCGAGCTTTGTATTGTTTGGTTGCACTCCAAGCACGTCAGTACTTAGACACCTCTCATGTTTCAAATTGCTAAAGACTAACTATTGAAAAGTAGCTTGCTGTTTATTATCGGCAAAGACAGGTTTCTAAATACGTCAATTTTGCCGCAAAATGGCACCCAACAATGATATGATGGCCATCGTCGACAAATGGTGTATGTTGGTTGTTCTATCACCAAGCAAAGCCATCTAGCTAATATCATCTAAGTTACCGAGCAAACGGACTTGAAATTCAAGATAGAATTCAATGATGTCGCTGAATACGTCAACATATTTCTGTCCTCGGTCAATGAAGCAAAATCGAAAGAAGACATATGTTTAATGCTCGATGCTAGTCTATTGGATGCGCCTCAAAGCGTGGTCGAAAAGCTTGAAAAAACCGAAGACCAAGAGCAATCTGTCAAAGTAGTCATCCTGCTTATTGAGAACGGATTTCCTCCACCAGCGCGTTTGCGTCGTTCGATATTTCGTATATTGTCGACGGAACAAGGAGCAGATCTAACAAACCATCTGCTAGAGCTTCCATCAGCAGTGGTGGACCCCTTTAGAGAAAATTTGACGCTATTGCTGGAATTCATGTAAGATGTTCCATCTGGTTAGTCTGAAAGGAGTCCGCAGGGAAGATATAATTGAATGAAAGTTCTGAATGGCTTTCTAAAAGCCCTATATTGAGCGACCTCTATTTTGGCTTGTGCCAACCAGAAACGTTGGAAATGAACTCTATTGAGACTTAATAATCTGTAACAAATGAATGAATAACGGCCCCATGCGCGAAAACAAGATGCATCATGTATAATCTTGGTCGCCAGCCTTGAATACCGATCCGTTCTAAGGAACGGAGTAAGAAGAGAGAACTACTAGCAAGGCTTTTCACGATGACCGAGCCAAATTGGAATGTCAGATGTTTCTGATCAGCACCCTTCTTTCAGAATGCGCTCAAGTATGAATCTTTTAAAGCGTTGGTCGAGGGCCCACTGGCAATCATCGCCGTGAGCCTTTATCAGCCTATTTGGACCTTGCCAGATTTGCGCATAATTGAGGAAGGAGACACACCACACTGCAAATGTGTTCTGGAACGCTTCGATCTTTACAGCTACCCAAATACAGGAGAAATGGGTTTTGGTCAAATGCCAGTTTCTCTTAAAAACTATACAGTTTTCTTTTTTGAAAACACCCTTTGTCCAAAAACCGAATATAAAGTACGACCGGGTGCCGCATAGTTCTACAAGCAAATACCCGACAGAAGTTTTTATTCGCTCGCCAGCTTTTACTTTTCTCAAATATCGACATATTTATTTAGTCTCGCACCAAAAGCACTATCGGTATGGTACAAAAAGCCCGACTGAGCTGTACCCAGGCCCTGCGAGCTTGGTACCTTGATATCCTCCCTCAGCTCGATTCGTCCGTTATCAACAAGATTTACAGCGATGTTGCCCGTCCGCGAAAAGACCCTATTAGTGATATTCTAAAGGCGATCGGATTACTGTCGCCAAATGAAAGAAAAGCTTTGATCACTCACATTTTCCGGAAATGGAAGGTGAAGAAAAACCTTGTCGACTTTCCCAAAATCGATCCTCTCACCAATCTACTGAACGATTTTTCATATGATGAGCTCCAAGAGCTGTGGATGAAAGTTTACCGTCAATGCCTGCCTAAAGCCAAAAAAGCCGAATGGCTTGCCGAATTAATTCAAATTCTGCCTTCAAGCCATTTTCAGCTCCCCTATTCCCACTTGCGAGTCATTGCAAACAGAGAGCAGTTGGAGAACGCGAGGTCAATTTTAGAGATTCGGGAAAAGGAAGAGGATTATGAAAATGGAAGACGAGGTGATACTCCTCATCCCGAATTATACCTCAGCTCTAATTTATCTAGATAATGATCTAGTCATCTTGCCGGGATTTCGTGCAGCTGCGTCTTACTAAGTGGGATCTATGATTTGGGTTAGGTCAAATAGGTGATAACGGTACAGCGAGAGACTCGCCAATATAGCAATATCAGCAGGTTTCTTGGTAGACTGATTTTTTTTTCGAAATGGGGATGAAGAGCCACTGTGCTACTCTGGAGGCCCAATGATGGCTACAATTGACGATCACAATATACCTCGCCAATTCGCAAACTGATAGGGTTATTTGATGATGAGTCTTGGTGGCGAACTTCGTTATAACTTTTGAAAATTTAACTTGATTTTGGACCAGAGATCTTGAAAGTATCAACATTGAGGTTTATCTAGCCAGAGAAATCGTAGCTCGAAGAGACGCTCGCCTGCACAGAACGAGGTCATTCCGGGTGGCTTGCCATTTAATTGAAGCACGAATTTTACGTCTGCTAGAAAGGAGAAGGTTAAATTCAATTTATATTCTTTCAAATATAGATTGAAGTCCTCTGTACAAATGCTTCTTTCCCTGATTATGACAAATAGGATAGGCTGCCTACAAGTATTTAAGAGCTACTGGCATGAACCGTGAGACGCCCATCTTTCTGTCCACTTCTCTAAGCTGATTGAGCAGATCCCATAGAGGGACCCTCAGGAGTTGCTAGTCATTATTGAAGAGTTACTGGTACAAAGCGTGAGACCCCTATCCTTCTGTCTAATTTTCTAAGCTAATTGAACAGATCCCTTGAAATAACCTTTCAAAAGTCCTGGTCGGCCCCAGTCATTCAACCAGATATGGAGTTGGGACATATTGAGCGTGATAGCATGTGAACGTACCCCCCTGGTAGTCTGAATACGATACCCAAGTACCCAATCGGTATCTAGCTATGTCTTTATTAGACACCGTCGCTCTGGAGCTTGGCTTAATGGGAGGACTGATCCTTTGGCTTCTCTTACTCTTATGCATTGCGCCTTTAAAATACTCTTGGAGGAGAATTTGGATGGGATGCAAGAGATTGTTTTAAGAGCCAATTTCGGGCTTTTAGATATCAATGGCAGTATTATGTTACTGGAAATTCTACTAAGAGTACAAAGATAGGCTATGTTATTCCATTCAGACTGTGGTGATCTATAGAATTGGTCCACTGAGGTTGAATATAAAGCAGATTGTCAGTTTAGTTAGTCCCGGTCTCTGGTGAATGTTTTCATGGGTGATGGAGACTCAAGCTCACCGCCCAAGATATCTCATTATTGTTGTAATATGAGGCTGGTGCAGATCAGGAACCAAGCCGTCCCATCGGAATTAATGCCGAAATATCTATACGAAGAATCAAGTTGATTGGAAATCAACTTGTTCTTCTCGTTGTATATATAGCCTCATATTTCCCTCTAGATGATAATAATAATCAATCTTCCTTTGATTTACAACACATTGCGACCAAAGGCACTGCCTTTTTCTATTTCTTCCATTTCAAGAATCTGCTCGAATCTGCTCTGGAGCATTTGCGTGGCGAAATGCATTGTGGCCCATTCCCTGGAGGAAGTGGTGTCGGGAGCCGAGATGTGATCAGCTACCGCTTGCAGGTAGTGAATCGTATCGTGAATCATTTTGGTGCTGATTTCTGACAATCTTGGATGCCTCTTTCGGTGCATTTGGGAGATTGCCAATTTTCGTGCTTGGCTTGGAGATTCTGTTGCTCTCTTTCTCTTATTTGGTAAATCCTGGTTCTTTTCTCCAGCTCCCATGAAGTCTCGAGGAGAAAGTGGCTCTAGCTACAGGAATGGGAAGAGAGTGGTCGCCGGATGGCCTCAAAATATATGTAGTGTGCTCAGAATCCTGGTTTGATGGATTTGAGGATCTAAAGCCTTTCTCCGATTCTTTGCTCCCTTGAGCTAAGCTTGCCCATTAGTGAATTTCTTGAAAAGGGGGATTTTGAGTAGTAATACCATGTTGACACGTACGCCGATGATGGATGGTGTCTGGAGCAATAGGTCTCTCTGGTACGCTTGAAAGCTTATGATGCATCACTGTTAGGCCTTACTAGTGGGGAGGTTGCAATGAAAAAAGAATGACGGAGCTAAAGAAGAAGGCGAGAGGATGGGATATTATTGACTCTTAAATAATTCGGCCTGAAGCGGTCTTATCGATCGTTTAAAGTTTAGTCATGGCCATCTTTTGAGGCTTAGTATTTCAACATCAGCTCCTAGGAGCACTCTGGATTCCAGTATGTTTCTTCAGTCACGGGACAGCACAAAGGCCAATGGAAATATAAAATGAATGGTGCTGAATGTGAGAATCTCACGTATCGTTTGATGAGTAACGTGTCTTCCGAATGAATTATCAATATTAAGAAAGCTATAGTCGACTCCAGATACAATACGTAGCGCGAGGAAGCAAAAGAAAGATAGCTTCCTCGCGTTCAGGGGAACCCAGATCCGCCGTGTGGGACCACCATTTCCACTAATCGTATACACTCCATGTCAGTCTCTGGCAAAGAGCATGGAGATTCCTGGGAGCACGAGAGTTCCTGGGAACAGCCTGTCTGTTCCACAGGCCTCATTTTCCGCGGTTCTACCCAACCGAATTCCATCATGCTCAAAGGTAAAGTAGAGCGGATCAGCCAGAAGAAGGGACATTGCTTGAATATGGTCAGCATAGTACCTCCTATAAATACTCGGCCGGGCCTGCAAGGTTGAGCATTGCTCCTCCATCCACAAGTCTGTTCGGCGCCACCATCATTTCATCCGAAACAGCCTCTCACTATATATCGGAGATGTCGCACCACCTCCATACCATCGGTTGGTCATCTTATTCTAGTGTCAGTGCGGTTGCTAACTTCCTATCCTACCAGGCTCTTCGCCACCATATGAAGAGCATCCCGCTGCTCATTGCTGCAGACAGTCTATTCAGAATGCACTGTTCTTTGCAATTGCTCGGGGAGATATGCAAGCCGTGATTCAACTCCTTCAGCACGGCATCGATGTCAACAGCAGCGGACCGAAGGGCCAACCCACGCTCTTCACGGCTCTAGAGTATCAACAGCACGAGATCTTGGAGTTACTTCTGGGTGACCCGCGAATCGATGTTCACATCACAGATGGCCAAGGTCACACTGCGCTCCATCTGGCGGTGATATACGACGATCATCTTGCAGTTCAGATCCTCTTGCAAAGCAGATCTCTCGATGTCAATCGCCCCGACTTTGCAGGGGACAGCGCATTGCTTCTCGCGGCCAAGACGTACAGTGGCTTCGACCCCAGACGCGACGCGATCCTTGAGCTGTTGGTTTCTCATCCACAATCGATGGTGAGCCAGCGCGACACCAAAGGCCGCTCCCTCCTGCAGTATGCAACGTTCACGTCGAACCGAAGGCTGATCGCGCAATTGGCGCGAAGCTGTCTTGATTGAAGGCCCTGGAAGCCTTGGGTCTTTCTCCTTAGGTCAGAACACGAAAGCCGGGCTGCAGAGGGACGGCATGAAGCGACCATACCACGTCCACCCACAGAGCCGGAAGTTGAAATATGACTAGACTAGAAGGCCATGGTGCTATATTGAAAGGTCAATTCCCTCGGCTGTTTGAGGTTATTGGGAAGATGCCGCGTCCCATGGCCATGCGCGGGCCGACCGCAGAGTGACGGAGTGTCTCCACGTGGCCCGCCTTCACCAACCTGACCAACCTTAGGATTACCAGACTACGTGACAGCGGGATATCTATACCCAAGTGCCTCAGAGGCTCTGGAAGATCTGCAAGATCTGCAGTCGCGATCAAATTCGGAGATCGAAGGTTTTGTCATTTGCTAGAAATCGTGACGTGTTATACCTCTATGATTGCCTGAAGTCTGAGATATATATTTCACATGGGTTAATGTTGAGAAATTTTACAACCCAATAAATAGGGCAGAACTGTGTTTATTAGGCAAATCAGTTGAAGGAAGATGGATATTAGTACTTTCTAATTAGAATTTCGATGTAAACAGACCACATACACGCATAAAATCGATATATTTCCAGGTCCAGGATTTGGAAAACCCGACAGGGGGTTCAACTGAAGTTGCCAAGTTGAACCCCAAAAGCCACCATGATTGGTCAGTCCGCCATCCGGAAGTGATTGCCACCGCCTTCTTGAACCACGTCTACAAAGCCTGGCCCGCCAACTGCCACCGTCAGGGTAGCTGACTGCCCAACTGGCCCTCACATCATCACCTGAAACGAATGTACGCATTCGCCACTCTCATCCATATTAGGATGAATCGTAGATGCTAGCATGAAGAACCCCTCGCCGCGTTTACCGAGCTCCCCCTTGCCAACGTTCGCTCCAACGGAAATTCACGAGTGAAACAGGATGCCCAGGCTGTCGCCTCGCCCGTCACATCTCACTGAACACTCTCAGATCCCAATACCAAAGACTCGACCAGCTCGGCCTTCAATCGTATACGACGCCAAATTTCCCCTAGATCCACTCGGAAGATGGCTCCGAAACTGTGGGCATATCCAATTCCTGCATCCAAATACGTTCCGCCCTGTCCTCCTCCACCCTCGATGCGTCCAAGGCTGCCCAAAGAGCCAATGTAGCCCGGCACAAGCGTGCATTGACTGGGATGAATTGGTCGGAATGGAAGTGCTCTTCCAATACAAGCTTTTGTGTGATGTCAACCACGGCTGTTGCTAGATGGCAGAAATTCGCGCAACAGGTGCGGAAGAACTCATTTTCGTGAGCTTGCTGATCACGCTGGCTCCGCTTCTCAGTGATTGGGTCTAGTGGGGATTGTGCCACGCTCTTTGCTGTACTGAGGTGTGTCTTTGTGGTCTCTAATGCCATGGTCGTTCTCCCCGCCACAAAGATCCGATGGTCCAGTGGTGTAATCTCGGGAAGATCGTCCCAGGCGGGGACAGGCAAAGCCGTCGAGGAGTGTGGTCTTGGTGTGTCTGGCGAGCGACTGTATACACTCGATGCATTAGACGGAGGGCGGGCCATCAGTGAAGCTAGAACAGAGGCTTCTATCCGGCGCTTTGGGATCTTGTTTCGCGGCCGATCACGTTCATATCATGCTCAAACAGCAGAGAACAATGGAGCCTTGTGACAGCAAATGCTACGGTATTATACTCAAGTATTATGTCCTTGAACCGGAGAAATCAGTGATTGAGCGGACCGCACTTTCCAGTAGGCTGTTGGCTAACGTCTGTGCTCGCTGAGCTGAGCTACCTAGCAATTTCTGAGTCACCTGAACCCAGGACGGGGAATATAGCAGCCTCGCAAAATATTATTTTTACTAAAATTTTCTAGTTCTCCCCCACTCAATCTTGGCAAAGCTAGACCGATGGTCAGCCTAGCTTTCGTATTGTCTGCCGCACAAACGCACTGCGTAACAGATTCATCGACCGAACATGTTTATATAGTATCGCCAAGCGGAAAGCGCAGTCACCGTACGTATTTTTCACTTTAAGGTCAATCTGCGGGTGTCGTAACAGCCGTTCAACACATGCGGTATACCCGCTTGCAGCAGCAAACATGAGGGCCGTGAAGCCCGAGGGCCCAACCTCATTCAGTGCGATTCCATCTTGCGAGAGAAGAAGAGACACTATATCTAAGTGTTGGTTGATGACAGCCACATGCAGGGGTGACGTCCCAGACGGGGCTTTCTCATTGATCTGAATAGCTTTCTGGGTCAGCAACCTCTGAGCCGTGGCGAGCGAACCCACCTGACACGCTGCCCATAACGGTGGAACAGCCGGACCAGGCATGGCATTGATACATATTTTGGGCTGTCTCAGAAGCATCTGCAGTAAACGAGGGCTTTGATGCTCCGCTGCTCGCGCAAGAGGGGTCAGACCTCCATCATCCGCGTCATTCAAATGGAGGTCATTCTGGTCCAAGAGAAGTTGCACTAGCTCCTCATTCTGCAGGTCCACCGCGTGCCACAGCGCCGTGCGCTCTCTAGAATCCTGGTGCTTGATGTCAAGCCTTGGGTTGAGCAGTAGGGCTTCTACTATCCCACGCGCCGACCTTCCCTTGAGGATTTTGACCGCGAGAAGTAGTGCCGTATTTCGATGGGTGCCGCACCAATTCACATCCAAGCGAGGGTCTCGGGCTAGGATCTGCACTGAGATATGGTCTTCCTTACGGACTGCGAGGTGTAGCGGGTTCTGCCCAAAGCGATCTTCGATGCTGACATTCACGCGGGGATCGGTCAGAAGATGGCTTAGAATGGCGTGCTCAGCGTGTTCCACTGCGTACATCAAAGCGGACATGCCATCGGTGCATCGGGCATTGACATCCAGCGCTGGGTACCGCAACAGGCGTTCAACGATGGCAAAATTGCCCTTCGCGACCGCGGTTGACAATGGCCCTTGACCTTGAAAGTCGCAAGTATAGGACAGCCGTGGGTGATGTTCCAGCATGAGGTTAACTGCTTGTGGGTAGCTCATCTCAATGGCGAGCAGAAGCGTGCTCGTCCCACGGTACATGGAGTTGGGACTTGCGTGGTAATGAGTCAACAAAAGGCGCGCAATGTCTAGTCGTCGGTTGAGTATGGCTCGGTGAAAGGGTGGCATCTCATCGTAGTGGAGGCAATCAAATAGAGCTTCTGTGCAGATTGCTGCCATTCTCCGGCAGCAAGCGATCAAGCAAGAGATGTCCGTTTTACCAAGGATCTTGCAGATCCAGAGTAAGAGTTCAGTTGGGAGTTTGTCTAGCATCTTTCCTGTGTAGTATGAAAGCTAATGCAGTTTGGTAGGAAGGGAGGCGAAGCTTTATAACACACGCTCAAGTACACCAATCGAGAACATACTCTACCAAGTATGACCGGGCCCAGGGCTTCTCGTATGGCAGAATCATCTTTGCCAGGCTGGGAAAGGTTGATGCTCAGCCTGGGAGCCCTTTTGTCTCTCGGAACCCGTGTGCCATTCCTGGAGACACTGATACTGATCCTGGGAACGGCCATGGCCGTGAAGACGATCCCGGATCTGAGTTACCGAAATTCAGGTGCAAAGATACGTCGCCACAAAATAGTTCTCTCTTTAATGCGGAGGCCGTAGATATAAGTACTACCCAGGGAGGATCATGTGTGCTATACGCAATGTACATAAGTAACACAGACTGCCTCGCCTAGCCTGCGTATTTGTCCCCCATGCATTGAGAATGATATCAGAAGACCATGTCCAGTCGATCCTGATATCCGCTCTCTCTCTGGCTAGTATCATGAGGCTGCTCCTGATAGTTCGGTTCCAACAGCCCTGGCATTTCTACCGCCTCGACCTTGCTTTATCGGCTGCGTCTAGTATTTTCTTCGTGGTACTTTCCGGTCTTCGCTGGGGCGAAATCTATGCAGTGTGGTGTCACACACTGTTGTGGATGACATCGGCTTTTCTCACCGGACAAATGGTATGTCTCGAGGTTACCATTCTGGCGTAATGAGCTGACTCTGCAGTTTCTCCGGGTCCATTTTCAACAATGTGAGAACCCATTCACTCCGGTCGCCTTACTTAGAGCATATGCATTATACGCTGTGGTCTCCAGCCTGGCAAAGATCGCAAGCCCCATTGTTGGGACTCTTCACCCGACCACAGCTCACCCGGTGTGTCTGTTCGTTCTCGCCGTTGACTACTTGATGGTGACGATATGGTATCTGTGGCTTCTTGGGCAGGCAACTCAAGCCCGGATTCGCCTTCGAATCATTTCTTTCTGCGTGTCAGCCTTGTTTGCGATCCTACTGGCAGTTGCAGCGCTAGGCACGCTATGGAAGACTTGGGACATTGCGCTCGAGGTAATTATGTCTTTCCGCGAAATACGTCCAGCTGCTGACTGTTTTAGATACAAATGATACTGATCCTTACCTGGACCTTGTCAGCCCAGCTCATTGAAGCAAGGTAGACTGCCATGCGTCTTCCGCTCACGGATCAAACAGCATGGAAGAATTCTCCCTTGTAGTACATACTGTGTGATCAATGATATTTGGTGCAACAAGATGTAAGCCTCTTGGTAATTGCTTCTTGATAGTGACGTCGTAGTGGCTTTTCAAATTTCTCGAGCGTGAATCTGGATTATTACTCGCGCCTTTTCGAACGGTGGTCCCCAGTGGTGTTCAACAGTCTGTCGTAAAGTCGTCCGGTAGATCCTTCCGCATCCCAAGTGAAATGGGATGGCAACGGATTGAACTTGTGGGATACGTTTATTGGTTTGATCAGACCCACCCTTAAAACTATGATGCATGTACTCAATGCCCATATTTGATTCATTTTCCAAGCGCCCTCGAGCCGGGGGGCGGGGTCCCCCCCCAGAGACACCCTTTATGGGGGTCGGCGAGGCAATTTCCAATTGCCGGGGGTGCCCCCCAAGGCGACGGGCAAGATTTGCCGGCCATTCTTCATTTGCACCCATATTTCATGCTCTCAATTGGAGCAAAAATCACGCGTCAATAAATAACGTTGGGCCACTGTTCCCAAGCGTGTGCTTCATCAAGGCACTTGAAACCAAGTCGCATATCAGCTTTTGAGCCTGTCTGTAGCGACCCTCATTGCAGTGCCCGAGCGATTGAGCTCGATATATTGGAAATCGCTGATTGAGCCTAAGGATGTTAGCATTCTGAAGATCCCCTTGGACGTAGGCTCTATTCCCGGCTTCGTCGCCTTGCCGTGCCCGACTACTCGAAGGTATGTCGGGGCTCCACTCCAACTTCTCGGTACTCTATCATCGACTTGTGACGTGAAGACGCCGGTATCGATTCTAGCCGTGTGCAAGCAGATGATCGAGAAAGAGCCTTAGTCTTCCGCTCGCTGAGCCATCGCGGTCAAGGTCGCATCATCCCCAGGATTTGAACATTGATAACCAAGAATCTCCCAAAGGCACGAGAGGAAATTGCGTTGCTGATTCCGAAAGGGAGCATTTGTTGCTGAGAGCTTGATAGGTGATGTGAAGTATCTGAATTAACTTGGCTGAATGGCTGAGGCCAAAGGCGACTGTTGTCTATTTACCAGCCACCAGTACGGGAAGGCGACTGGTCGACACATCTGAAGCTGAAGCGGGTATGCTGTCGAATTCTATACGTTGCGCAAATTGATGATCGCTGGATACTAGATGTAATGGTATGCAGAGGAAGTAGGGGAGGCACTAATGTGGGCGTCTTGCCCGTCGCCTATGGGGGGCACCCCCGGCAATTGGAAATTGCCTCGTCGACCCCCATAAAGGGGGTCTCCGGGGGACCCCGCCCCCCGGCTCGAGGGCGCTTGGAAAATGAATCAAATATGGGCATGGGCGATGAACATCCTCCTAATGGGCGAGGTCGATTTTTCTGGAAAAGTGATGTATCTGGAAAAGTGATGTAATACCAAGTCATCAGCAGTTGTGCACACGTGGCGCAGGAATCCCCGGCCCGTCGTGAAAAGAGCGTGTATTGCGACAAATAGACAAAATATCACATTTCTGAAGGCCGACTTCAGATATCGAGGCGTCAACAGCGGTGGTCGGTAGGAGAAAAATGGCGGGGCGACGCGTCAACGCGCGATGCATATCTACCACGCGCAACCTCGGCTAGTTGTTAGCACCACCGTAAAGCCACGAAGAGGCCTTATCAGTCCTACAAAGTCCAGCGAATATTTGGGCTGATCACGATATTCCGCATCTGCACTATTGTTTGACATCCTGTGCCTTTCACTTGCCCTCGCCGTGTTAGCGCCTTCCATGAAGAATTGAATGTCGGGGACGTATCACGAGCACTTTTCAACTGAATTGACAGCTTACTGATCTGATCCTCCTCTAAGGATTAAGCACACGGTGAATTGATTCTAGCACGGAAAGTTGACTTGCATAAGCCGATTTTCGCAAAAGGGCAATCTCCAAAGTCACGGCATACTCCGGTCGCACAGCCTCATTTGACGGATTGATAGCATCACGCCATACAGAGTGAATCACAGGGTTATGAGACCCATGGAGTCCGTTCCTAGTAGGCTTATTGTGTTGCTCAACCTTTTTCGAATGGCTGAGTCGCTTGGAGAAAGGATTGGGCCGACAGGATAGGGCTGCTGGCCTGACTTGCTCGCCAGAGCGAGTGCATGTAACCAGACTGAAATAGCTGAGACGACAGCACCACATTTGACACGTCTCTTTCGGTGGCAACGGCTTCGAGGATTCCATGCACCTCCTCTCGACATACAACGCGGTGTTTCGGATCCGGGCTCAGTCAGCATTGATTATTTGGTATCCACAGTCAAGACGAAGGGGAAAAATGAGAACTTTTCAATACTAATGACCATCGCAGCGATGTCTTGCCGCTCTGTGGTGGTTCTAGATGCTTCACCATATGGCAACTGTGAGACAGCATCATGTCTGCCCATTGCATTTGCCCAATAGATGATATCCTCATTCGAAGTCATATATGCCTATATGCCCTTGGTCCCTGATCGTGGGCTGGTATTTGCGTCTTGGTCGCTGGCAATCACTGCTTGTGTTTCGATATTTGATCCTCTGAGACACTCACTGGCAGCTTACCATGGGTGAGTTGAAAAGACAACTTAGGCTTTCCTGGCTGTCTAGAGTAGTGAGGCTATTAGCTCGGCATTTGATGTCAGTCCGAATACAATTCCCACGTCCACCACTCCGTCGATCACCGAGATTTCGAAGGAATCAAACGGGTGGTTTTGATAGGGAGAATTGATCCTGGATAAAAGAAAGGATCGGAATGCACCAGGGGCTTCGAGTTGAAGCGGAGGGCACATGACCAAATCGGTTCTATCAGTGTTAAGGGCTTCGGTGTTTTGTGGCGCTTCGGTCAGTCTCGGACATCTGCTTTCGTCCTCTTTCTGGATTTGGAAACACTTGAGACATATCGTTGAGGTGATTGAGTCAGCCGTTCTTGCGCTAGCGAAATACCCGTGGTGAGCCTCCAACGTGCTTTAGGTGTACCGATGAATAGAGCAATACATGCCGACTTTCGATGACACTTCCCCCATCGAATTTTATCCCGTTGCGACTAATTGGTATCCTTCCGCCAAAGCAACCCTTGTTCCCGGCGCTTGAGGCTAGCCTTGTCGGCTTTGAATGATCTTGATCAGGAATCAGACAACGGAAGGCGACGTCGTACGGAAGATCTAGTGTTCAATGATGGCAAATAGACCGATAGGTGTTTCATTCTAACCTTAGGAAAGGACAGGTGAATTCCCCAATCATCACTTGTTGAGACATATTATGCACTGAAAGCCGCCTGGTCAAATAAGAACATCTCACAAACACCCGAGAATGGATTTTTAATATTTGGCAATAGGTCCCTCTGTAGACCCGCCTGGGAAAATCGTGCATCACACATAGTAGAATCACCCGCCATGAGTAGGAGATCGACTTCTTTGCCTGGTCTCTCCTTCGACCGAAATTTGCCGCAGTGAAACCATCGCTGAGGTCATTTTGGAGCATAGTCAACAAGTAATATCTGACTGATACAGGAACCCAGCATGGCCAGACAGCATTCGTTAGAGAAGTCTTTAGTGTCAAACCCATGACTTCAAGCTTTGAGGTCGTGGTCAATACCATTCATTGCCGCAAACTCAGAATATCCCACGAGAGCCCACCCGGCAGTGTTCGTGTGGACGATTATGATTCGCGGTAGTGGATGTGTATCTGGTAGAGCCCAATCCCTCTTGTCCCTCGATGATGAGCGAGTAGCTTCATTCAAATACCACACCACCAAAGCCCTATCAGGGCGAAGCTGTGATTGGGAGCTACTCCGATTCAAGTTGGACTAGTTGGCCTTTAGCTTCGGGGACGCGGTGAATGCCCACAAGGCGATGCTGCCGTAATATGCCCCTGTCATGTATGGAAGCTCTTTCATGAAGTCAAGTTCTTGGTTGACCTTGCTGCTGATCACACTGTTGAACGTCGCATCCCTGCCAACGCGCCCTCAAGATTGGTTACGAGTCTGATTGCACAATTAGCTTGAATTAGGCAAAGGCCCAAGTTGCCCTCTTAAGAGCACTGCTCGGACTATTGCACCTCCCTGCTGCTCTGCTTTCTATTTGTCTTTAGGTTTCCCGCTCACAAACGCTGAGATTTTCAAGTATTCGAGCTGGGGTAGCCCGGCGAGAAGAGAACATAAAGAATAATCAGCCGTTGGAAAACGCAAATGAGAACGATCCAATCGTTGTGGAAATTCAATGCTCGTGCATCGATGCTCAGTTGTGAGACGCACTCATCGCGAAGAAGCCCAGTGGAGAAGTGGTTGGGAAATGATGTCACGCGAAATTAGCTGTGACAAGTAGCCAGCGGCGCATCTGACCGTTTAGGGAGAACGACCTGAGTCTGGTTCCTTTAACGTAGGCCGTCCTCAAAAATCACAAGGCACAGAAAATTCTGGCGCTCCCTTCATTCTTGAGCAGTTGCTTCATAAGTCACCCCATCATAAAACCCACGCAGCTACGTGGACACGATATCGTGATTTGATGCTGGTGCTGGAACGGAGCCGCATCATTGGAATTGGCTCCTCAGATCTCCATATTGAGAGTCAAGTTTCAACCAGCTTTATCCTCTTGCAGTATGTATTATCGGGTATCACCCCTTCATACCGACGATCAATGATACCGCAGACGCATCATAAGTGGCCATGCCGACAGCGAGATGGCCACCACAGGCCTACAAGTAGTACTCTTCAATAGCTCTGCCTCTAGATAAACGTCAAGCCCACCTTGAAAAGCCTCTGCTCACAGTATGCCAAGAGCGCGTCTCAACAGCATGTTCACAGATGCCGACGCGGAAAACGGTGATGAAAAGCGGCCTGTCCAATGACAATGCAGAACAGCCATCGGTATAATGCGGATCAAACAGCAGGCCTTGTCATAAACTGTCCATTTCGCGTAAGTGTGGACTTGGGTGAGGTGAGACAGGGAGCCACGCTAGCCGTCTACTGTTAACCTCCAGAGCCTGACTGCAGCAGGCGTCGAAAGGTTTTTTCAGTTGATACGCGCATGGAGTGGGTGTGTGGGGAGCGCGTCGGTAACCAGTCGCACTATAGGCAATATTAACACCCAGAGAGGAGGGATAAGGATAGGTCAGCATAAGCGGGGATACTCTTGTCACTGCCGAAAGTAGCTGATACATATGAGAACAGACGTGAGTGCAACACTTGCCACCGAAAAGGTCGTTCAACATGGCTGCATTACTAGACGCAGTCCTCGGAGCTCTGAAATGACCGATAATCCGTAGCTTGAGAGATGAAGGTTGGTTCTCGTGACTGCGGGGTCTATTCTCATTGAGTGTACGAAGCTCGCTCTTGTGAGCTTAATGCCATTCCAATATCCATGAAAAATTTGAATGGGATAGAACTGACCATGAATTTGCTTTATCGAGGAGCAAGATCGCGAGGTTAACCGATACACGCCGTGTTGGTGTCAAAAGGTGGATGAGTGCAGGCAGTTCCACCATTCAATTAGTTGGACCACGACACAATCCGCAAGGGCTGAGCGAAGCCTGATTAATGGCCATTCGTTCTGGAAGAGCCGTATCAGATGGGGTGTGGGTGCGCGACCTTGAAACCATCGACATAGCCTTGCAGTGGATCTGAGCTTTCGTTTGGTTTAAGCGTCACGCGCCATGTATTGCGTACACACTGGTGTACTGCCGGTGTATCGAAAGGCTCTATGACGGCTCAATGATCTGCCATTAGCGAATTATCGAGAAGTGCCATCACTCACCCACGTTCATACCGTGAGGGACTGATTTACCCAGGCGCGGATCAATGCAAGAAATGCAGCGCAAAGAGTCGCATGGAAAAGAGCGAGACCTGCTGAGATGAGATACGTACCTGATGGCGGCACATCCTCATCGCTGATAAAGTTGACGAGCTGCTTCTTCTTTACGGTATCTGTTGACATGGCGACGAAAGCGCAATGCTAGAGACGCTTCAATATAGAGTGCGTCTCTTGTATTCGAGGTGGAGTCGGCCTTGCCTTGGGTACATGATGGGTGGTCTGTCCGACAACTGGTCCCTTGCTATCGAGTTCAAGATCGAGAGGGTAGAAAGCTCCATGAGGTATCCGGCATCTGGATAGCCCACACCGGGACTTTGGGGGGGGGGCGTGAAGATCTCTGCCATAGAAGGGAAGTCAGCTTTAGGTACAAAAACTCAATCAAAGGTCGGGAACACTGATCACATTCAACGTTCGCCGGTATTCGTGATGTATCAACCCATACACATTTCTGTAGGAGGTCCCTATGATAGAAGTTCATTTGATCAGCGACTGACATCATGGAGTTGTTATTGGGCCTACCGTATAAAAAGGCTCTACCGTAATATATCAGGGGTAGATAGCCTGTCATGGTTGTCATCGAATGTGTTTAGATCTGACTGTACGCAGACCGTTCGAGAAGCTCTATTGTGAGATCCTTACATAGGACATGGTGCCTTTTTCATGAGTCAAACCAATTTGACACCTCACCTTGGTAGAGATTTTGCGTGCCACGGTGGATCTATTGGAAGCCTAGCGGAAGCCGAGTGATATACGGTGTTAGTGTAAGCTTTAACTAAGGAAGGGTGGTACTCACGTATTAAAGTCCTCGTATATCAGTCCTAGAAAAAGAGTGTTATCAGTGAGAGATAGAAATTCTTGAGCTTATGACTGGGTACACTCACAAGTAGTAGACAAAAGGAGATGATCAAAGTCAATCTTCGCAAATGAGATATGCCAGGAGAGTTGCAAGAGGAAAGTCAAGCAAGACGGGTGGGGGCATATTTATACCTCCCAGGGCGGAGTTCCTCGTCTTTCGCTTGATTCTGCAGCGCTCCTGTCAAGACTCAAGAGTGGCAGATTGTGAGGCTTGCTAGTTCTTTCTATCCAAGAGCGAGCATAGCATACCAGCGAGCAGTTTTCTGCCCTAAAGGAACATGTTTACTTACCAGCGGTGGGCAAACATGAGTAGCAATAATAGATCGAATGACAAAGAGTTGGCATGGAGCCAAGGTTCAGATAGACTACGAGGTTTGGCGAGGCCCTCCAGCAGATAAAAATTGCGGCTAACTGACAGACCAGAGTTTATTCACCAGCGGATTCAGTTGAATCAACAGCGATGAGCAAACATGAGGCGTCTCAAGAATATGTGGAATGACAAATAGTTGTCAAGGAGGAATCGTCGAGGTAGAGTTGTAGTCCCGGTAAGACGAATTGGGGATGTAGAAAACAAGGTCGTAAACTTTATTCACTCGCGAATCAGTTGACTCAACGGGGATGAGCAAACAGGAGCTTGATCAACAATATTTGGAATGGCAGATACCTGTTGAAAAGTGAAAGTTGAGGCGAGCGCTAGAAAGTCCTCCCTTTGATTACTGACTTGACTACTGTCCTGGCCTTCTCTCACCCCTCGTCAAGCCCGATGAACTAGCGGACAAATAAATAACTGCAAACAACTAAGATATTTTGCTCGCTCCATTATCAATGCTACGATCTTTGTATGGGCGGACAACGAGATGTGAACACGACACATGTTACACGCGCTGGAGGGAACGTGAAAGTTGCCCTTCCTCTTCAAACAGAATGTGTACCGTGAGCAGCCCAAATTGGCAAGACCATAACAATGCATGGTCGTCAACTTGAGCCAACACCGGGTAGTTACCTTGGATCCACACCGGTGCGGCCCGTGGGTCGAGGTGGGGCCACCATATCCACTCCGGTGCCTCAACGTTGAGTGAACGACAGTGAATGATTAGCGAGGAAAGCCAGAAGCCTTCGGAGAATGATGGTGAATGAGATATTGCCCAATTTTGTGCGACTCCCGAAAACTCTCCTTGGCGTTCTTGGAATCGCTTTCCATCACATTTCGGCCGTTTCAGCGAAAGCACCGCAAGTAGCGGGTGCCCGTGCAGTTTGCATACACTACTCTACGGAAGACACAAAATGCGTCTCTCCCAAAGTTGAGGGTGGGAATTAGGTATTCACTAAGTTTGCATGATTTGGGATTGTCGACACTAAGGCCAAAGTTGGAGCGTATTGGCAGCCACTAGGAACTTAGAGCTCTCTGCGGCCTCTTCGCTGCCACTCTTGGTCACATAATATCAGCCCTTAAGTAGAATATGTGGACACGTAGGACAAGTTCAGTCATGGATTTCCAGATGAAATGCCCTTGAAGAGCAATCATGTAGGCATGCCTTCTCTCAAAGTGCAGCATAGACAAAACCTGCAAGCCGTATACCTCAGCACTTCACAATAAGCCGCCAGAGCTTGGGCATCGTCAAGCGGAGATGACATGGAAGCCGCACGCAATTCGACGGGCCCTTTCAAAGTAGACCAATGGCCTGACCACACTCCTCCACCATGGCACTTCGCACGCGCAGCATAATGCTGAGGACCTTCATTCTGACTCACGTCTCTGAGGTCACCGTACCACTACTGCGAACCATGGGTGAGCCAGCTCTTTGCCCTCTGATTGCAACTGCGCCAATTTTGTGATTCGACCAGCACTTTCTGTGAGTCACGAATACTACACACCCAGATGGAATGAACGGTCGTGGTGCTGTCTGCCGCGACATGATTGGCGATCCATTCGCCAGCATCGTCCAGCTCATGGGTCAAGGCCGGTGAAGACATTGCATCGATCGCCAGAACCGTCCTCGGTGAGAAACCTGCACTGCTGGTATTTGCGAGAAAGCGTAGCTGAAGTCCATAAAAGCAGGCTCCTCCCCCGATCCATTTGTCTTTCTTCACACATCGCGGCCGCGGTGTGTCGCCTCTGACCTTCGGGCCTGAGGTTTCCGTGACGACGGCTGTTGCTGATCCAAGCCCAGTGACATAAGAACAGTGCTTCGCAGGGGGGCGCTGCGTTACCAAGTGAACTCCGCAGGGGGACGCTGTGATGACAATCGAGACCCGCAGGAGACCGCTGCGTCAACAAGTTCTCTGCAGGAGACCGCTGCATTACCAAGTTCTCCGCAGCCTAGGACCTGCGTTATCAAAGATCCTCGAAGGAGGGCGCTGCCGAGAACAAGTACACCCCGCAGCCTAGGACCTGCGTTATCAAAGATCCTCGAAGGAGGGCGCTGCCGAGAACAAGTACACCCCGCAGCCTAGGACCTGCGTTATCAAAGATCCTCGAAGGAGGGCGCTGCCGAGAACAAGTACACCCCGCAGCCTAGGACCTGCGTTATCAAAGATCCTCGAAGGAGGGCGCTGCCGAGAACAAGTACACCCCGCAGCCTAGGACCTGCGTCACCAAAGATCCTCGCAGGGGGGCGCTGCGTTACCAAGTGAACTCCGCAGGGGGACGCTGTGATGACAATTGAGACCCGCAGGAGACCGCTGCGTCAACAAGTTCTCTGCAGGAGACCGCTGCATTACCAAGTTCTCTGCAGGAGACCGCTGCATTACCAATTTCTCCGCAGGAGACCGCTGCGTCAAATAAGTTCTCCGCAAGGAAAAATGCGTTACCAAGAGGATCCGCAGGAGACAGCTGCGAAACCAAGCGACTCCGCAGGAGACAGCTGCGAAATCAAGCGACTCCGCAGGAGACAGCTGCGAAATCAAGCGCCTCCGCAGGGACATCTGCGAAATCAAGGCCCCCTAGCAATGTGCAAGCACCTCTGCGTGGTGCTAGGGACCAGTATTCATCTCCCATGGGAACTGAAGAAGCCAAGACTTGCACAGTAGATAGACTAAAGCATGAGCCATAGCAGCCACTGGGAATTGCAATCATCACATTATCAGTTCCGTTCATTCAAAGCTCTCTCGTAGGCCATACCTAGAGTCGTATTTAGTAAAACCGCTTTACGCAATAGGTACCTCGACATACCCACTGATGAGCCAATTCACCGCTGTGTTGTGCCACGTGGGACATCATCTCCCACACTTGCATTCTAATCAAACAGCCGGAGTCCGGCGTACACACACTGACTGAATCCACGCTTCATGACAATAATTCCTGCAGGTGGCCTCTCTCTTGGAGCTAGTACCGATTCACTAGGCGCTCCGTATGTCTGACTGCATCAATCGCTGTTTCCTTCCCAACACACGAACAATTTCCGCGTGACCTGATTGTACAGCAGCCTGGATGGGTGATTGACCGCGGAACTTCACATCGACAATCATGCTTTCGACCTTGATCAACCGCTCTACAACTGCTAAATATACCTCCCTCGCAGCATAGAACAGTGGTGAACACATAGGCGTATTGACCTCCACGTCAGCCCGGCCTAGAAGCAGATCAAGCATCTGCAAATCTCCGTGGTATGCGGTTTGACAAAGTGGCGTCCAGTCCATGTCATCATACACGTTCGGATTCAGTCTTGGCTCCGCGAGGAGCAGACTGACACTTGCCACGTCTTTTTGCTCTATAGCGCGATGTAGAGTGCTGGATCTATCCACCCCGTCGTCGTTGACATCGATGCGCTTCTCCAACAAGAATCGCAGTCGTATTCAACTATTGTTCGTCAGAGATAGACGAGTTGATCCGTTGTTGTCTCTCGCATTGAAGCACCAGGAAGTCAACCGAAGCGCAAAGAAAGTTCCATCGACAAAATGTGAATGAAACAAGATCTTCGACCGGTAGATAATCCAGTATGTCATATGCCAGCTCAGGTGGGAGGCAAATGATACCCACTGGCAATGGCGTATTCTCATTGTTATCTGGACTGCGGATTCGAGTATGAATATGAAAATTCAGTCGAATGCGTTGAGGCGACGATATATTATCTACACTCGGTATGTATATTTTTTATTGCTTTACAACAATCTAGAAGTTTTGGGAATGAAGCGCTCGGCAGTCCACGCTCGAGAATTGAGCGCGAGCTGGGCAATGCGAGATCACAACGAAGCTGAGTGTATCGAGGAGAGTTTTTTCTTCCGCGAGGTTGGGAAGCGATGCATGTATATCTGGGACCGTCGATTTGATACCACTTGCTGAAGCTGCGTTGCCTTTTTCACGGCCTCCCTCGAGTTCAAATAGGATTGAGTGCATCTATCAAAAAGTATTCTTCAACGCCCCCGGCGAATATGGTGGTTGAAATTGAGGCCTGTTGATTGTTGTATTGCCGCTGAAATTGACTGATTAGTAAACAACCAACGAGAAATTACTAAATCCACATTGGAATTGTAAGCAGAGCCCAGCATGGTACTGCCGTCACTTTTGACATAGGGGAAACAGAGTCGGAAAACTTCATTGTTCACGAAGACTACTGGAAGGAGGTTAAGCAGGATCAGACTTATTTCTAACATGCTTGTGTCAGATTTGTAAGTGCATCAAAGAAATTGTTGCTACACGTCACTGCAAAATTCTCGTCGCAGGAAATTCTTTTCCCCTGTTAGTATTACTATTGATATACGCTAATTCGATCACATGGATCATCAGCGTTAGTTGTAAGGATCAAAATAGCAAGTTGGCTACTGTACAACGCCCCCAGAAAAAATCCTCAAGAACGCCATACAATTCTCATTCTGAGAGTATTTGTGCCGCCTCAGCTGAATTATCAAAGCAAGGTAAAGTGGTGTGTTCATGTACTCGAGACTCCCCAAAATGCAACCGAAAAAAGAACGAAAACTTCAGTTGAGCCTTAGGTAATTTAGCTACATTTCCGATGTCCTTTCTTTTCTTTGTTCTTTTTTTCAAAATGAGCTGACCTTTTCTTGAAACTGAGGTAGAACGCCCAAGTATGTGGTGGACTTGTACTAAGTAATTGCAAGCGTACCAGTTGACGTGGCCAGCCGCATCTAGCAGTTGCAGACCGCACAGTGGTGCATGAATCACAAAAGCGTGGTAGGTAGCCTTACCCGGCGATTCGCGCAGCCTGCTGCATACAAATACTGTGCCGGTTCCTTTGGCCAACGGGTTGTGTCGCCCATTTGATCTCAATTCATGCAAAGAATCAAAGACCTATGAAATGAAGGTCCCAATGAGAATCAGTACCGACAAAGCTGCCGCTTGGCTTACCATATCGGCTTCTGCTGTGGCTGTGATCTGCTGGAGCATTTTATTTGCCGGGTGCACTTCGCCATCTACATCCAACCACCTCTACCTGATGGAAGTAAGCATGCCCATGGATAATTTCTATACAAAGCTAATATCGTGCAGGTTAACCTTAAGAACTTTCCAAGAATACAGGGCAGTTCGATCAGTCAGGGATTCTCGGAGCATCTTCTTCGAGCCCCTCCGGTCAGCCTTAACCCCAAGGAAATACCAACAGAGGTCGGATCAGCCACCTCGGGTATAGCAAGCACGGTAGAAAGCGCGCCCCACCAGATCGGGGGTGCGGCAGAGGATATTACTAGCGAGATCAAGTTCCATCTGCCAGACTACTATCGTGTTGGCCTTTGGGGATACTGCAGCGGAGATGACGATCAAAAGACTGTGTGCTCTCACCCGAGACTCTCCTTCTGCTTCGATCTATCAGCGATTCTGCGATCAGCCTCTCCACTCGTCGACCATATACTACGCGGAGAAGGGGATCCCGGTATTAGCGGCTATGCTAGGCTCTCTCATGGCATCACCGGCATGTGTATCCTAGGGTTCATAATGACCATTTTAGCAATAGTGCTTGGCGTATGGAGGGAGTTTTACGGTGGACACAAGAAGCTACTCACAGCGCTCCATATGGTGAGTTATGAAACTCCAGTTCATTTGAAACCTACTGACTTCTCAGTGCTCGTTGGCTCTAGTCACTGCGGCTGCCCTCGGTGTTACCACCATGTATGGCATTTTCAGTCATACTATCACCGAAGTGCTCGATGACCTTGATGGCACAGCTCGCGTGGGGGGCTCCATGCTTGCCCTTCTTTGGATGGCGATGGTTCTCTCTCTGGGAGCCTTTTCGGTTTGCCTCGTCCGGTTCTTTCGCCGTGACTTTTAAACGATGCGGGGTGTGGACGAAGGCGGTGGTGGAGTGGCTCTCCGCCCCTAGCGAGAGCTTGATGAATTTGAAAGCCCTCTTTCAGTGTACACCGTCCTGCACAGTTTATCGACACCCATTCCGCCGAAGCAATATGGGAGGATATGGCAATGAGATCTAAAAGCTTTTTGGATTTTGTGCGTGCTATTATTTGACTTGGAGAATATGTCAAGCTGAACAGGAGTGGTTTACCATTATTCCTCTCTAGGACTAGTATATACAGCGCCCGCCCGCATTTTCCATGTATGTATTCCCCCGCAAAGCAGAAATAGTTCTTAAACCAGACATCAATTCACAACCCTCATGATTGGATCGAATCGTACTATTGCATATGCGTTCACTACAGTCCGACAGAATACTCTGATTGGTCAAATGCCTTACTGTAGCAACGTGTTATGATTGGTAAGCTGCAGAACTTGATTCGCTGGTAGCCAAGAACTCGGATTTTATCAGCGTTTTACAATATACGCGACCTACCAGAGGCCACTTCCTGATCAAATGACTTGAGATATGCTGTTTACTTTGGTTCTGATCAGAATTGCTAGTTGAGGCGCAGAGAAACTCAGTCGGTTAGACTAACTGCACATTTAGTATCGCGGTACTACCGTTGAATATCTTGTAGCGGCCTGATTACGACAACGTAGCAATGATAGCGAAGAGGACGAACCTAATACAATTTCCGCGGCAAAGTTGGTAGACAGGACTAGAAAATCTTGATTTCCGACAAACTTGGCGTACCTCGACTGTAATACCAGGTTTTGACGAATGACATGATTCGCAAACTGGATTCAAAGACTAAAAAGAGCCCCTTCAGTCTTGCTGGATAGCTCATGAAATGGATACCGCGCCCTGGTTCCTCGAAGCCGGGAAGATCTCTTTCAGGGTCTGCCGGAACTCAAGAACAAACTTATCTTCTATGGCTTGGAATACCCCTCCAAGAGCTCTGCGCAGGGTAGCTTGCTGTAATATTTGAGCTTGGAGGGTTTTGCGATTCTGGGCTCGCCGGCTTCCTTTCGTCTGCAACACTGGGGCTGGTGAGCGGTCTATTTGCGCTCGGTGCGTCTGCGGCAGGATATAGTCTAGGAGAATCCAGAATTCATAGAGTTTTTTGGCCTCGCAATTCCCGCTCAAGGACCATACGAGTCCAATCGCGTTATTGACCATTTGTAGAAGGGATGTGCGGTTCTGAGAAATACGGTGCACCGCAGCATGGCGAATGGCACAAATTGGCTCGTGCCAGTTCGGTGGAGGCTTTTGTTTCTGTGGAAATGCAGACATCGGAAGCTTTCGAAAATGTCTCTTCAAAAATGGAAATAGCTTGTGCAATTCTAACGCCTCTGCACAGGACCATTCATTTGCCTCAGCCTCCTTTGGTAGCCATTGCTGTACGAAGCGAAAGGCTTCAGCTTCCAAGTATCGCTGGAGAGCTAGAAGAACAAGATTTTGAACACAAAACGGGACGTATGCGATGGGTAAGTCGACCAGATCGTATATATCGTGCATGACCTCTGGGCAAAAATACTGTTAACTTGAGAGGTAGAATAATGTGTAGGAGTAGAATGACGTCGTACCAAAGGTCTTCTTTGTGCGTAGGCAATCGAGGGACTGTTGCATCTGGCAGGAGCTTGAAGCTCGAGTGGTCAGTCTCGACCTTCTATCGGATAGAATCACTTACCTGCTCTCGGTTTGGCATGGCATGAAACCGATTAAAGGAGGCATTTCTTCTGCCTGGTCTTTTGCTGAAGTTGCATGGTCGTCTTGTCGCTGGTATCGTTTGACCCGCTTCCGGCTTTTGCCCATATTGGACAAGGCGATGGGACCGAGGAACGCGCTTCGGCTCGGACGCTGCCTTAATGGTCGTAAACGACCCGTCTTGAAACACGGACCAAGGAGTCTAACATCTATGCGAGTGTTCGGGTGTCAAACCCGTGCGCTGGGCTGTCGTAGAGAATAAGTGAATTGGGCTGTTGATCAAGCGTCCTTTGCTGCATTCAATCTAACTGAAAAGCGCACGTGCTCAGCGGAGAATTGTCACACTTCACAAGAGCTAATATATCCTTTGACTAGGCTTGGTGTGCAGAAAGCGGGCTTGAAAATGCACACGGGGACTGCAGCTGGCCGCACGACTTGGAGTCACACCTGAATGCAGATTTCGGGACACTAGTATCCATTTCTATCTGTCCAAACTTTGTGGTACACGAAAGTTGAAAGAACAGTTGAGCATGTTGACCGAACGGTCCGCCAACAAGGTCGACGGCCATCTTGACTGGTAAGGCAACTGTTGAATAAACACATTGATGGTGGGACCCTTCATCACAACGGATAAGGATATCTTCTCTTACTACAATAATTATGTGGAATCTGTTTCTGGTGCTGAGTTTGAGTAGTTGTTTGAAGTTTCATTGAATGACTACAAAATCGCTGATTCAAGGTGACCTCCAACTTGTAAAACGTCTGTGTGGTGATTTATCTTGGGATCAGTATTTGATTTTATAATTGAAATGGTGTCTTGTTGCAGAGTCCCTAATTTGAAGGTTATTGACAACGCAAACTCGAGCTCCAAAGGAAACGCAGCACTTTGGGGAAGCGAGGTGTCTTTTTAACGATAGTTTGCGATCAAGTTGTGCACAAGAAAGGCAGGATCCAAAAGCGTCTGACCACTCGCGCGATCAGCCCACGGGCTAGGTACCTGGTTGTGAAAATGGAGAGCTCTCGCGAGCGGTCGCACCAGCAGTCGGAATAATGGCACGCGGATTTCCATCGCATCAAGGCGAAGTATGTCGAATATCTGTGCCTGCAAGCAGTCAAGATTCTCCAGGAAAGTCTCGACTCGCGGTAAGAAAAAGACATCCTGTGCAATTATCAGTCCGGTGCATAGATCTAGTCGTAGAAGGCGAAAATCGAGGACATGTGCCATCTGAAGGTCGGTCATGGGCAGCATCAAGTCAAAAATCTCATCAATGCATGCTGCAATTGAGAGGGGATCGGGGCCAGGCCACTTAAAAAAGCAGGAAGCCGAGGATTCAGAATGAAGGAAACAGTTGACCGTGGAGTAGTACCGGCAATGAGTGCAATTTGTCGCCTCTAAGGGTTCTTCGGCAAGCAGCTCGCCATCATACTCAATGTATGGCGAGCCAACTGGCACGGTGCAAATTTGCTTCCAGATCTCGTCAAGATCCAGGTCCAGATCAATTTCATCACGGCAAGGGTGACTGACGTTGAATGTCAGGCGACGCAAGTTGATCATGTCTGAGCGACTGATCCTTGTAAACTTTTACAGGAAAAGAGGTAACGACCAAAATATATAAACGAAGTTCTCAAGGCCAGGGACAGATTAGTAAATTTGGATGTCTTTCTGTCAAGACGCCCTCTCCTTAATTCTCTTGGCAGGCGGACGAACTTCATGGTTTGGTATGACATGACCAAACATTCCATCACAGGCGTTAAATGGGGAATGAACCATCAGTTGAAGCAACGCACCAGAGGAGTCATAAGGTCCACATATCATCTCTCCTCTCTTACAAGGAGCAGGGTCTGATCATGGATAGGATTCGTATACCATTTCTTGGCTCATCGAAATGTACGAATCCTGCCAGCGGGCCTTTGGTCAAAGACATCTACAGAATGGAAAATACGACAGGTATCCTAGCACAGATTCAGTTTTCACATTGGGGAGGGCTACCTAGATCGTGTTCCTTGGATAACCCACGCAAGTACATCACTATCGAGTTTTGCTGACAAGCAATCGGGCTTTTTCGGCAATGCAATCCTGCCTTGAACAGCCCAGTCTTCCAAACCACTTATTCCGCCTCCATTATCAGATCGTCCAGACCTCCACACTCACATTGACGCCATGTATCCATGATTCCCAAGATCTGCTGCCGCGAAGAGTCCAAGGCACGATCAAAAGCCTCCAGCTTGGTCTTCAGCTCTTTCGCACGTATACTAAGATCATGCTTCTCTGTCTGAATATGATCTATAGCCTCACGCAGACTATGGTTCTCCCGCACGAGCTGAATCTCCCGCATTTGCTTAGAAACACAGGATTCCCACAGGCGTCGGTACAGTCCGACGAGTCGAGCCGCTTGAAAGGCTAGTTTGGGGTCACTGATCTCGAGATCAGCCAAAGTTTCTTGTATCTCTTCGAATGGCTGTTTAAGGACCGTGCGGGAGCTACCCGAAATGCTGCTGCCTGGCACCGTCTGAGACACATTAGAATCTAACGAAGAAACGATGGGGTTCAAATAATTTTGGATGTAGAACCTACCTCCTGAGCGGGAATTTCTTTGGCAGGTTGTCCCTGCATCATAGTAGAAGATGGGCTCTCGTTGTGGTCAGTCGCATGGCGAGGAGAGGCGATTTTGGGAAGAGGGTCCATCTTGCGAGTCAACGAAACACTGAATTGCAAAGGTAGATGGTATGAGAATCAGGGCGATAGATGCTCATCTTATATTTGCTATTCGAGTGCGTTTGAACTCATACCATGGTTCAAACACAGGCTACTGCACACGAGAAATTTGAATTCAGTTGGCTGAACTGTTGGTCAACTGTTCTCCCATCTGTTTACTCACCGACGACTCACCAGAATTTATTTTCGACGGTCATTTGAGTCAATTAGTCTAGGTCGGGCGTGCTGATCCAACACACAATATGCGACACTGTCTTGAAAACTAATTTTCATTGTACTTAGATGCGCATTACGAAATGTTGTGGACAATGTGAGGGATGCTTGAAAGAAAGACCTGCGGCATATGAGCGAGCTACTAACTATGCGATTATTTGGATATCACAGTAAGCAACACTTTTGCTTTTCTTGGTCGTTCGTTCCTACGTTGGCGTGCACGCGAACATAAATCCCCGACTTTCCGCTATGATTATTTCTTCCCACGCCCGCGAAAATGGTCAATGTAGAGCTCTGCCTGATGGGAGTATCGCTGCTTGTCACTATCGCGGTATGTTAGCCACATTCCTTCATTGTCCAAGTATTGATCCGTGACAGGCCTCTAGCCCAATATCCTCGCCCAAAGTGTCTTATTACGAAGTCAGTTTGGGATATATTTTCATCCACCTCATGAAACTAATTCTCTTCCTAGAATGGGATTGCGAGAGCCACGCCACTTCCAGAAAGGATCCACAAAGGGCAAAGTGAGACACCCGCACATGCACACGGCACTATGAATCGGAAAGCGCATGGGCATCGGCATTGGCATTTGCGATAGGCGGTCACTTTGATATTTTCTGAAAAATTGGGGTCGTCGCTAGAATAGGCCTCAATGGAGCTTGTGAGTGCGTTTTGACTTGCTTATTCAATGTTGTTAAGTGGACTGTCAACAAAGTTGAAGGAGGTTTGATGATTGAAGCCTCATGACAGGGTTATTGGATTAGAAAACTATGCCGCGCGAACTAGTTACATATATACTCGTCGAGAAATAGAGACTTTTCACCAAAATAGACGATTTCTATCGCCATGATCTATCGAGAGCAGAGGAGTTTCCTAACAAGACTAGCGAGCTCTTTCCCATCATGAGCGTTGTTGGCGATAAAGTCATCCTGCAGTTTTTTAGAAAATTGTCAGACAGAGGAAGCTTAAATGGGAGTGCAAATACCTTCTGAAGTGCCGGGATTGACTTTGCTGACTTGGCAACAGCCAGGAATTGGCTTGCAGCACACCTGATCGGCCAATGTGCGATGCGAGTCTCTTCGCTCTCCTGATATTTCTGCATGAGCTGCAAGGCTAGTGATGGAATCATTGACAGGTACGCCTGCTCAGCCTGATCTGGCGTGCAGTCTACACAGAGCTCTAAGCGTGCTGGAGAATGTCAGTATGAATCGAATCACTCCCAAGGGCGGTTGACGCACCGATCTTGACGGCCCCGTCCAGTCCAAGCAGAAAATCCCCGCAACCAAGCGATTGGTGAGTGAGTCCAAATGAGTGCAAATAGCGCATCCCACTGATAACCTACAGGACATAGGTCAGGATACGCCGCGTAAACAATATTGCCTGACATACCTGAGATAAAATAGCGCTCAGCTCCTTTTCATCAAGGCGAACCTGGGGGCCTCTGAAACAAATCGTAGAGTGAAGGGCAAGTCATCTAGCAAGAAAAATCCAGAATCCCCATGGAGATAGCATTCATGTAGTCTCAGTACATTAGCATGCTCTAGGTGACCGAATCTGTCGATCAAACGGCGAGCGTCCTGCCTCTGATACTTTCGAATGGCCACAATGCGGGACCGGTGTGTGCGTCGGCTAGCAAAGATGACTTCGCCGGCAAGATCCGTGTGAAAGATTTCTTGGTAGGTGTCCCGTGGGCGTTCGTGCCGCACAAGAAATGCAGAGTTGAGATCAGCGATGGCGAGGAGACGGGGAAGGCAAAGAGTCTTCGGCGCGCCTGTAACAGCTTTTGATGTACGAGCAAAATTGCTTGGCGAGTGAGAAGATTTTTGTTCGCGGCCGGGACGCACTGCCTTTGAAAAGACTGGCGCAATTCCAAGTTCTTTCCCTTGAATGGCACGAAAGTCGAAAGCAAGATGCTTATCAAAAGTATCCATGTTTGAACTCCACAGACCGACCGACCGCTTCGCAGTCAATATTTGCCTGGGGTAAAGGGTATATAAGGGGGACCAAGATTTTCACGAGGAAGAGAACCAGCAGTTCTGACATAGTTGACAGATTCAGGTCCCTAGCACGCTGTTGCTTTCATATTTTGTATATGCTATAAAAATGAGGCGAAAGAAATATGGTGCCTAGACATGACAATGCTCCGAGCGTCAAGGAACATCTTTGAGGTAGTAATAGAGTATGATTATGAGCCTTTGACAAAGCTTTCACTTTGATATTTCTTTACATGGCCAGAAGATTTCTGTCCTCGGCTGAAAAGAGCGGCAAGTTTCAAGCTTGTGGCGAGAGACCGTTGACGTCGTGCAGCTGAATCTCCCCTGCAGCTCTTGTTCCATTCGGTATCTAAGTCTTGATTCATCGATTGGTATAATGACTTGCTTATAGAGTATAATTATGACAAGTTTCAAGCTTGTGGTGAGAGGCCGTTGACGCCGCGTAGCTGAATCTCCGCTGCAGCTCTTGTTTCATTCTGCGATCCGGATCTTGAATCCTTAAATGTTGGACTGATTTGCGTGGAGATATGAGTATAATTCTGTTTGAAGGAAAGTGAGATAGCATACACAGAAAGTGTCTCATTTTGAAGAGAAGAAAGAACAGCTCATCGGCGCACATCATCACCCTTCGAGTTTCGAGAAAAACGTGGCTAAGACAAGCTTATACCTTCCAAAAACCCTATCGTCATACCTGCCCAATAAGCTTCTTTTCACTGACGTGGCTGCGCACTCTGCCGGGTAGAGCGACGACGACCACCCGTCGCTTCCCTTCCCGCCCTTCCCGTGTCCCTGACGTTTTGAAATAGCGTTTCCACAGCTGCCAATCGCTGGCTGAAGTCCTCCAACAAATGATTTGTCGATTCATTCCATATGTTTTGCTCATGCAGAGCACTTTCGAGGCCACTAAGAAGTTGTCAGCAATGCTTGGGACGGTCCGGCTTCCTCACTTACTTCATCCGATTATCTAGACTTCGGTCATGTTAGATATTGGTCTCAAAAAAGGAAGACGGGGACATACTCAGCTAGACACTGGATGGCAACGATACTGTCTGTTGCATCAATCGCCTCGGCATCCTGAGGTAAAGGGAAGGCTCTTGCCAACCCTTTGGTGGGAGCGGAATTGCACGGCGATTGCTCTCCCGCGTCACCTCCGAGGTGGGACTGGCGCTCGTCTTCCTCACCTTGGAAGGAAGAATCATCTACTGTGGTGTCACCACTTAAGACACTTCCAGAGCCATCAGAATCACCAGATGAGAGCGAGAGAGCACGCTGCAATCTCTGGCGGAGACGCTGTCGCCGGTCAGCAGTCGAGTCGTTAGAATACGCATTCATTTTTATAGGCAGTCAAGAAATGAACCCTCATTAATAGTCTGAAAATGAAACCGGTAGATGATTGCTCTTTATACTAAAGAAATGGCAACCGCATTTTGTGAAGTGAGTCACGCATGCACACAATGCCTTTGGGGGATTCTATGGGACCGTGTTCGCTCCTGCAATGGGCCGCCATGAGATGAACTAAACTCAAATATCCAGAAAGTGTGGTCCCTGGATAATTTCCTTGGATTTGATGCTGGTGAGTCAACGAGATTGCTGAGTGCCCATGTGTGGACTCAACAGCGGCCAACTGTGGAGCCATTGCAAATCACATTGGGAACCGACATGGATGATAGACACGCCCTAATTCAGTCAACATCACTTTTAACCCGACTCATCGTCTAATTTGTTCTTGGAGGGTAAATGAGTGACCCGCTTGAGGCATGGTTCGACAAAGCTACCAATGTTGCGCCATCCCGAGTAATCCACGGGCTGTCTATGTATTGGTCTGCAGTGAATCCACAAGATTTATTATAGCCTACAGGAAAATAGAAAGTAGGCCGCAAAACTATTATCATTGATTTGATCTGGGTGGTGAATGCCAGCGAGAAGAACCGCACATATCGCACGTAGCAAAGTCTCGGCAAGAAAGGTGATGCCCTTTTTTGGAAAGCGTGGGATGGAACAGTCGTCAACTTAACGTTAACTCTGATTTCTGAGTCAAAGTGCAGACCACTCGAAGTCTACCCATATCCCCCTTTGGCAGTAATTTAGTGTCTGGTGAGTTTCAAAACTGATTTTCAGTATTTAAATCATGGATTTCTTGGTTTGCCAGGCTCCAGGGCCTGTGTAAAATATCAATATCTCTTTACCGCTGTGGTGTTTAATGACCCATCTTCCTACCCCAAATTCCCTTCTCTCGCCAAGCATTTATCATTCTCATGGCTCCTTTCATCATGGCGCGAGGGAATAGCCACAAGCGAGATCAAAATGGCCATCACTCGCAGCGAGTAAGGCCGGTGATGACTAAAGCTCGATCAGTTTCAAATGTCTCAATCCGGTCGGCGTCTCCAGTTTCGACCGTCCGGGGCGCGAAGTCTGGCATTTTGAAACGCCATCACAGTGTGAGTCGTTTTCGGACCTGCAAGACCTGATTCATTCAATCTTGTGGCGCTCTATCACATTCTAGCCTTTTATTGACAGCACATAGGGTTCTTCCGCGAAAGACTCCCGCAAGCATGGCAAAATCGACCGTCAGAAATGCTCTGATCTCCTTTCAGAGGTTCAGACTGAGATGGAGAGGGAAGCGGATGAGCAGCTAGCTAGGGCCACGTCGCGTTTTCAGGAAGAAAAGGCACAGAATGTGAAAATGATGGAACAAATTATCGCCGAAAAGGACAGTCTCTCAGCCAAGAATTTTCAGGCTGAGGGTGAAGTTTCTCGCCTGAAGCAAGAGCTGGAGGCACAGGCCCTGGCCACACAAGGCCAAGTGAGCTGGAACGAGATACAGTCAGCCTTGTACCAAGCTCATAGTCAGTTGGTATCGGCAGCTACTGGGCTTTGGAGCTCGATCGAAGCCATCCAGAATCGCCAGCTAGCAACATTCCTGCCTGGGTCAGGGACCATGGATTTCAACTGGCCCAGTCTAAGCGGAACATCCAACCTTACTGGATTCGATCATTTACCCTCATCCTACAATTCGCAATACAGTCAACAAGATCAGCAGGCGATCAACCAAGCCGTTCCCCCAAATTGACGGCAATTGTTTTTCAATGTGGTGTGCCTTCTGATGGTGCGGTGGATTGAAGTGAGATAGTGATGATAGAAGATGTTTTTCAAGCCTCACCAGGAGCATTAACACCATTAGTGCATTCATTGTCACCTGAGAACTACGGTCAATACACCTTTCTATACATCGTCACAAGCCATATTTTGGCAATCCTCGATCATTGGTACGCCAAAAAGTGACTTTCTCGAAATGAGCTTATTACCTATTCACTGCATGTATGTTCCACCTAAATCTGCTTGTCAAATTTAATGGCAGTCTTAAATACTGACAAGGCAGTAGAGAAGAAAGATAGCAGACCTGGGGCTTGCCTCTAGCCAGGGTCAAGCTTTGGTCGAGATGCAGAGGCACCGACTACCATTTGTTACGTAGGTGGATTTCGTTCAACAAATTTGATTTTTGCAACCATGGTGATTTCGGTATATTACTAGCAGCGCGCTGTTAGGTCAAAATGCAGTTCAATGATGGGCATTCAAGGACACTCAGCATGAAGCTTTGGGTGTCGCAGATTTCTTCCTCAAATATGACGTCTACATGGCTTCCATGTGATAGAAATAAGTATCTCTTTCTTGAGACCTAAGAACTTATGGTGCATGATGGGAGAGGATGAGTTGTATATTCATGCAAGTTTTCGTAAAGAATTTCTATGTCTGTCAATGTGTGCCATTTATCTTCCGTACGGTACCGTCATACACTCCAAGCCCCCAATCTCCGGGCTCCAAACACAATCACAAACCCATCATCATTCCCTACTATCACCAAGCTGAATGTAGTCTGCTGGCATCAGTGTCGGATCTGTGATATGGATCAGTTTGGTAAAAATTCAAATCAAGGAGACACCTTACCAGCGGATGGTCTTTTCGACTTTGCAGAGTCATTGCGGTTTGATTGATGCGAGGGTAAATCATTAAGCCGTCGTTTGCCTCGACGCCTCAGTGCCTTCCCCTGACATTTGCAGTCTGCACACTTTGATACCTTGGATTCACGCGCAATGGATGAGCTACTAGCGTCGCGGCGCTTTCGAAGGATGTGGTGCTTTTTCCCTCGTAGAGACTCAACACTTCGTCTTACACGATACTGCTGCCAATAGGCAATTGACAAAGCCTTCCAGGTCAAGTTTCGATTAGATTCGAGCCAGGGAAGAAGGTTTTCCTCCTCCCAGGCTGACCAACCGACTGCATTATGGGGCGTCATCATGCACTTGAGGGGTAGTGTTTATGACCGTTTGGCGGGAAGCAAGTGATTGAAATGGGTATGAAAATGTTCTTACCCAGGAGTGTTCTCATGGATGAACAGTTGCCGCTTTATGGAGAATCGCCATTGACAAGCAATTCATTCTTTGGTCGCTCAAAAAGTACTCCTGGTGGGCGCCATGTTGCATCTCCCAAAGTTCTAACACGGGGCTGGCAAGGTCCATGGTTGACCTCTTGCAACCTCTTGGCAGAGCTGAACAGAATCGGACGCGACTTGTTGAACTAAAAAGTGGCAATCACTCAATAGCGCCCTAAATCGGGATCAACATTCGGTCTACGCAATAAAGGTTGGCAAGAGCCTACCTACCTGGGTGAGGGCAGTTTACAAGCGCTTTTGAAGCGAAAGTACCCCTGTCAGAGAAGGAGCTCAGTGAATGATAGCAAGAACAAATGAGGGTGAGAATCTTCGACTAGACGAATTTATAGCTGGCCAAGGTTGCAAAGGTTCTAAGCAACGAGCACCGCCACCAGAAAGTTTTCAATGGAAGGTTACACTGAATTCTACGGAAAGAAAGGATTGTCGACTGTCGTAAAAAACACTATTTTCTATCACGGCTGGGTTGAAGTTGAAACAACAAGCATCA